GTGGCATGGTAGGTGTCCGACCGCCCGCTGCGACCGTGCGACCGACTGCTGTGGGAGGAGACGTGGACATCGGAGCCGACCGAGGGCGGATATCGGGGCGTCTGGGGCGAGGGCGGCGGGAAGTCGTGGACGGAAGGGGTCGACGGTTGAGACATGTAGTAGGATGGGTAGTCCATGGCGGATCGCGGTTCGGCGGGGTTGGCGGCGTGGTACAAGCCCTGGTCGCACTCCCAGCAGGTCCCCGGATAGTGCCGTAGATGGGCACTCTCGCGCCGACTGCGAGACCGGGAGGGGGACCGTTGCATGGGAGGCGGCGGTGGGGGATGATGGCTGACGCTGGGCGGATAGGCACCGACCTGCATCTTCTCCTCCCGCGCCGGACGAGCGACTCGTTCCTTGGGGCGTTCTCTGCGATGGGAGCGGACACGATCGAGGTCGGATCTCTTGAGGGAGGTGTCGACCTTAAGAGGCACAGGGCTTTTCCGGCCCGACGGGGCAGATTGGGTGCTGTTGACGGTAGCGGCGGTACGGCTGGAATACCCGGAATCACTGGCGACGTCGACCAGGGGCTCCGACGGCGATCTCAGGTCGGATTTGGAGCGTTTGGCGGCGACGTTGGCGACTCGACGGGAGCCGGGGAGAACAGCATGGGCGTCTTCGTCGTACTCCTCACAAAAGGCGGCATGGGGGACTTTGCCGGACATGATATCTGAAGGGCGGCCAAGGCCCAGGTTGGGTCCCTAAGAGGGGAAGGGGGGGAGAAAAAAAAGGTGGATGACGTGAAACGTGGTGGTCCAACAGGCTTCGATGCTTGCCGGACTACAGCAGCCACTGCTGCTGCTCATCCGATGAGTCAAACAATCCGCAGGAATTTCTTTTTCTTTTTCTTTCTTTCTTTTTTTTTTTTTTTCTTTTCTCTTTTTTTCCCTTTCTTTTTGGAAAAATTCTTGTGTCGTTCTCCAGCCCCGGTCGGAACGGTTCGTTCGCCCTCTCCTCCCCCGTCAGTCTGGCCCACTCGACGGTCGACTCCCAGGAGGCAAAAACCGGACGGACTGCAGATCCAGCCGGCGATAGTTCGAGGACGGCGCGTCTAGATCGCTGTATGTCAGCGACGGACGAGGGATGCAAAGTGGCAGTCGTCGTCTACGGTCTGCAATGTCTCCATCGAAAAAAGTGTTGGCCACGGTGGAGAGTGGAGGAGGGCAAGGATGGACTGAAGGCTCGGGCGGGAGTGGTCAAGCCCGCATGCGTGGGTCGGCGGAGTCAGACCAAGAAAATCGAATAAAATCAAAGAATGGAAAATAAAAAATCCAAATCCAAATCAAAAGGGATGAGAGGTGGAAGAGACGACGGAGAGAGGAAGACCGGAGGAATGAGAGACAGGAGACGCGGCGTGGGAGCTGCAGGAAGTTGCCCGTCTGGCAGCCGATGACTGGAGGGTTTGCGAGGCGGGCAGCGACTAAGGGAATCCCCAATAGAACCGTCGACGGCCTGCAAGTCCGCAAATGCAGCGAGCGACCCAAGGGGTGTAACCGATGATGGTTGGTGAACGGCGCCTTCGGGCCTGACGAGGGCAACTGCGAAGGTGGGGGGGAAATTGTGGGGATGTTTTGGGAGAGAAGAAGATTCAACAAGAGCAACTAGATAGGTGGACGCCGGGACGAATGGCAGATAAATGTCCGATCGGAGATGAATCAGAGATGGATGGATGGATGGCAGGATGGAAGAGGAGGAGGAGATCAACGTCCGATTGCCAGTGCGAGGAGGGGAAAAAAGGACGGACGATGCCCTTTAACTCTTTTTCTCCCGGAGAAAATCCATTGCCATCGGCACCACTATTTCCAATCCAGCACGTTCACAGAAAAAATAAATAGATAATAATAATAATAACACGGGCAGCTACAGTCCACGGAATGAAAAACTGGAAATTCCAATCCCTCCGAACAATAGACGATCGATCTCCATGCGACGGTCCTTTAGCCGCGACAAATGGAAGAAGAAAGAAAAGTCGGACGAGGAGGGGCAACCGACGACTGGCCGTCGATGCCTGATCGCCCGCTAGTCTGTTAAGATTAATATTAGATACTCAATCCTAGGGAATAGACTCATGGACTTGCTTCCGTCAGTCTTGTTGATAGTTGATCCTGCAGTATACGCAGTACGGAGTATAACCTACTGACGCTCACTGAACCCCGGTTGGAACCGGGCGCACCCACGGAACGGCGACTCCACCCGGATCTATACAGGTTCGTGAGAGATTAAGATCAGTGCGATAACCCTAAGTCCCTCGTCGAACAGGTCTCACTCTCACCATGTAAACGACTCGGAGTCAAAAGAGTCATGCCGTCTGGGTGGCGGCCCAAAAGTGCGCCAGGGATGCTCTTGCGGCCCAATCACGGCCTCCACTCGCCTCTGCAGAGAAAATCTCGCAACTGGAGGGGCAGCGAGGGGACAGCAGAACGAAAAAGAAAAGGAACGAGCGAGATCGAGCCGAGCTGACCCCTCCTTTGCTTCCCTTTTGATGCCGTCACCGTTGGGATCTCCTAAATCCTTTCCCCTGCTCCATGCGGAATCCGTGAATGGTGCCTCCGTATATTAAGACCAATCGACCTCCGTAGTAGCGCCGACTCTTATCGCGAACCTCAACCCACATCCTTTTTCTTTAGTTTCATTTTTTTTCACACCCCCACTTACCGCTCTGGTCTAGCTTCCTGATGCTATCATGACTGACCGGACCCTCTGGGACGTCTGTGGAGCGCCGGTGAATGAACGGCGTAGAACATCCAATCGAAGCGCGCTAGAAAATGCATACCCGACCAGGTCTCCGTCCCTGTTCCCTTCGATGGCTGATGGCCCTCGCATTTCTATCCCGTGGGCAAAAGTAATTAACCTCTAGCTTGCACCATCGCCTGCCTCTGACCGGGATGCGCAAGTCGGCTATACCGGACTGCTGCTGAGAACGCGTCGTGATTCATCCATCCGAGCCGCGCTGCCAGGGAATGCCGGTCTCCACGACGAGGGACAGCATTCGTATTATGGAAGCTGGACGGTTCTCCATCGGCTCCGTGCCTCGGTGTCTCTGTCTCTGTGTCTCTCCTGGACGCCGTCGGGCACTGACAACCAAGCTCATGGAGCGCCATGGAAACCCGGGGAAACCTGCGGTCTATCGCCATTCTGGAAATGAGTCATATGATGGACAATGCTCTGCCAGTAACGCTCCCCTGTGATCAATTCCGCCAGGCCTGCACGAAGGAGGCGGGTGCCGCTAACGGTCTGACTAGCGACGCGACTGCCTGTAATCTCTTTCAAATCAGCCGACCTGCACGGCACTCTCAGCTGGGGCGGAGTATATCTATCTGGTCTCCATCAATCCGGCGCCATGGGTCGACCAGATCGATGTCGTCGGTACAATGTGTCCTCTCGTCGACTCCCAAGGCCAACCGTTAGGCCGAAACGTGCATCGATCCTTTAGACTTGCTTTTTAGGTTTATTCGCAAATGCAAACCCCCTATTTTTGGTGCCCCGTTGGTCTCGGTGGCTTTGTATCTATAGGCTGATGTCTCGGTTTCCGTGTTTGGGGGCCCTTTGGCCCTTGGAATTCGACCTTTGGATATAAGACCGTCGCCGTAAATCATGCAGTCCGCCATGCAGTCCCATTGCGTCCGAAGCGTCCCCACTTCGGTGGGAAAGAATCAAGCTAAGTCTCCTGCTCCGTGCAGATCAGAATCATCTCCATGCAGTCACGCCTCCAGCAGCCAGTCAAACCAGCTCCGATGACCTCATAAGCCCTAATGCTGCCTCTCGCTTCTGCAGTGAGTCGTCGGATAAATTGAGGTCACTGATATGTCAATCGCCGGCCCGCTTCCCTGTCCGGCCAAGAATATATCAAACAATGAAATTATCTTGATGTCAATATCAACCTGGCAATTGCTCTCCGTCTTTCTCCGCCTGGCTTATTCGTCCACGGTCTGACCATTTGGACTCGTCATACTTGACTATTTGGGTCTTTTGCATTCCTGTCGTCCTGCGCAGCCCGGTGTCGGCTGGTCGTGGACGCCTGAATTCCTACCAGAACCCCCGGTCCACGGAGCAAGACGGTGTTGTCCCGGGGGAATGGACAACGCAGTGCGCAGTGCTTGTGTTGGGCTTTTTTCTTTTTCCTTCTTGCGCACCATGGGTCGTATCCAGTAGCCAATTTATTCCGTCACATGCATCTAGCCACGACCGTTAGTTGGGAATAATAGTGCTATGCTCTTACCCTAGTCAGCCTGCGGGATTGACTCGACGCCTTAGGTGGCAAGAGGGGCTGGAACATGATACCATCCGCCGCATTCGTTTGACTACTGGTCGGTTCTTGTCGTGTCCGGATCCAAATAAACTTTTATCTCGATGTCAATGTTTCTAGGATTGACCAGCGTCGATCTGGGCTTCACGAACGGTGAGTCATCCCTGTGTCCTTGCTTCTACTAACTTAAGTAGTCTCAAATCTTGCCAAAGAAAGTTGTTCCATCCAGTCGAGCAAGACTTGGAAATGTAACCAGAATGGGCCAGGAAGAAGCCAACCTGGCGACAGGAAGTATATAGTTCGGAGGGTGAGCCACGGGTGTCAGAATCCTACAGCACACTAAGCATACACCACGACAGTAGAAAGAGCATTTCATAGGACGATTCAGTAGAATTCAAACTCTATCCGACAATCTCTTCCAAGAAAATTCAATCGCATGATACACAGGAGTAACTATCGACCGCACCAAGATCTGGCCGCCTGAGGCAGCAGCGATAAGATGGCGCTGACTCAGCGAGTTGCCGGGCAACGTCGGCCGCCCAAACAACGGCGGCGTCATCCCCAGCCTCTCCATTTCCTCCAACCACCACATTTTCGGGCGGCATTCGGTCCTGCTCGACTCAATCTTCACCTCCCTTGCGGTTTGCTTCTGTCCAGAATTTGGCCTTGTTCAGTATTGACTGACAACACAACTCTTAGCTCCCGATTCAATCCCTCCTTCCGTCCGCTTATCACCCATCTGTGGAGCCGGATCGAGGATATCAGAAGTACCGAGATTCACATTGCTGCCATTTTCTTGAGGGGGTAAGATATTCCATCCGCATTCTGTCACCGGGTGGAATGCTGGTCGTCGTATCCAATCACTGACCTCTGATCAGGCTTTCGTCTTGAGCTGCATGCTCTTGACAGCTCTAGGACGCCGATTCTCCAATCATGCCCGCCATCAAGCGAGTCGGGAACTTCCCCGACATTCCTGAGAGATCCATCCTCGACGAACATGACGTTATCAATGAGAGTCAGCCCGTCGCCGCTTCAGCTTCGGAACATCTCCACACATTCGCCGCCCGCGACGGCTCGGGGAAGGACTATGTGCCAGGCCAGGGCACCGTCGACCCCAATCACATCAATATGCAGGGACTGTTCGCTCTCTTTGCCATTTTGGGAGCTGCGTTCGTCGTTGCGGCAATCTGGTTCTTTTTCTGGGCCAAGAATGGCGGATTTCAATGGCAGAAGGGCGACTGGGAGGAATACAAATCCACCGTTCTACGACGCAAAGGACCCGACGGACAAACCCTCAGTAACGCAACCAAGAGTACGAAGCTAGGGGGCGGCAGTATCGTTGGCAAAGGCTACAGTGATGACGGATACACGGCTACCGAAAGCGGGATGGGATACACCGACACGGCGACTACGATCACCGAGAAGGACCAGCCCAAGAAGAAGCGAAGGTTCCGCGAGACCGCCAAACAGAAACTGCTGCGCCGGCACAAGGATGAGAACTGGGAGGGCGAGGCGGACGAGGACGTGCTGGCATACCGCAAGGAGAAGCCCGCGCGAGTGGGCGGCATCAACCGCGACGCCGACGGCACCTACCACGGTAGTGACTACGATCTGTCCAACCCTCCCAGCCACTACCAGCAGAGCGAGATGAGTCAAGTGCGCGATTACGCATACCAGCCGAGCCGCCAGAAATCCAGCCGTCGGGACTTTTCGTTCACTCCGGGCACCGAAGAATCGCTCTCCCAGCCGCCCACGGAAGACCGTCGACTCCGCGACCCGTCCACGCGCCGGCACAACCGTCGTCGGGACCGTCGGCACCAGCCTCCTCCGACCACGTCGTCGCGCCAGAGCAGTCCGCGCAAACGCGAGAGACGATCCATGCCGGGCCATTACACCGAACCGCTGGACTTCTCGTCGGCGCCTTCCCGCTCGGACTACCAATACTCCAACGTGGAGACGGAGGACTCGGGCACGAAGAGCTACCACCACCCAATTCCCGGACTGAGCAAGGGCTATCGTCGAGACGGCGGACGCGGTCGTCGTCGAGACAGTCTCAGTGACAGCGACGGCGACGAGACTCGCTACTCATAGACCGGCATTGGGAGTAGAGCGACACGCTTATGACGAACACCATCATACCAAAGACCAAGAATGTAAATAATACACGGACACTACGAACGGATCGGATGGGACAGGATTGAACATGAAATTGCCCAACGGAGTACGCTTATGGATACTGAATTACGACCCCGGGATGGATCATGGGACGCGATGAATGGCCTTTGGTTTTTTTTTTTTTTGTTTTCTTTACTTTACTACTTTCACGCAACTTGAAATGTCCTTAATGCCTACATGTATTCGAAACTCTTAGCTTAACGATATGGAATGGACTTTTGCGACTCCTGCTCTTCACTATGACCGTGCGATGCTTTACACCTACGTTGATGAGGGGGATTGTCTACTCCAAGAATTTGCTAGCAGCATTTGAGTACTTTGGAAACATGGATAGGTTAACCCTTTTTGTTGATAGCAAATAAACGAATATCAATATAAAAAAGAGAGACGAAGAAGGTAACAATGGGACGCCAAGCCAGTCTAGCTATGATACAGAAAAGAATACGAGCGCCCAATGCAGGAGTCGACACCAAGAAAAAAAAGTCACCCGAAGGAAGTCCGATGCGATTACGCAATGCAATGCTACGCTCATCTAAGGCAAAGCCAGGAAGAAGAATCCGCTATCCCATCAGCGACTGTGAAATGACATAGAATGCGAACGTCGAAGCCCGGGAACAATTGGTACTCTGCGAAGAGACGGTACAGAGTGGCTTTTGGAGAGTATCGGTTTGATCTTGCTCTCCGGGGCGAGGGCGCTTTTAGCGGTCGAGATGCGGTCCTCGTCCGGAGGGAGAGTGCTAGGAGGCCGTGAAGATAAACCCGCGTCGTCACTGAACCATTCTCTTAGAGCCCAGCGGCTGATGCTGGTGTCGTCGAAACCTCGGTCCCATAGGGGTTGAAGCTCGGGACGGGATTTCAGTCGATGTATTTCAACGGATGAGCTGCGGAGTTGGTGAAGCATCCACTTGTTGATAAACCTGGTAGGGCTCAGCTGAGCCGTCGCCTGGGGCTCGAAGAAGAAAGAAGAGTCGTCATCGACGGAGAGCTTGAGAGGATCATCGCTCGGGCTGGTGAGGTGGTCCGAGCTCAAAGGGTAAAGGAACTCTCGATCCCTCGTGTGTTCGTCGGTTAATAGACCATTTTCCTCGCAGATAGAGCGGAGTTGATTGACATCCAACTGGGCATGATTGAGATCGTACCACATCTTCCTCCTTTCTTCATCGTAAGTGCGCAGAAATTCCAAAGACTCGTCGTCCAGAGGCACACGAAGCGAGCTTCGCTGCTTTTGCTTGTCCATGATGGCCAGCCACTGGGAATCCAAATCGAGCAGGTGTTCCTGGAGTAAACGAACATCCCCGATGCGCGAGAGATACTCCACCACACCCTGCGGAAGCACCTGGGTTGTACTGGCCATGGATGTAGTGTCACCGTCATCATCGGCGAATCCATCATCCAAGGTATATCGACTAGGGCCCGGAGAGGCCCGGAATGGGCCCTTATTCGACAAACTAGCGAACTTTTCCATGGACTTCCCAAGCCGGTATTCTTGCTGCTCCAGTTGATCTTCAGCCTCGTGATAACTGTTTTCCAGATCCAAGTACGACTCGGTAGTCAGCTGCAAGGCTTCATAGTCCCGCATCAAGAGTTGGACATCGAAGAGACCCTGTTGCGCAAAGAGTGCGTTAAGCTTCCTCATCAAGGCCGTTCGCAGATCGGATTCCTCCTCGCGTTTGAACTTGAGGGCTTGTCGCAGCTCGCGCACCTGCGACCGCTTCGCCGAGACGGTCTGTTGTTCCTCAATCAGATGCTGATTGGCATGAACCAGTTTGGCAAAGAGCGCGGGGTCCACAGGCTTGCTCGCGTCGTCGGAGAAATCGGCCAAGATGCCATCATTCCGAGCCGGCGTAGAATCCTCTGGGATTGCAGGGTCAGCACTGACATCCTTGCTGTGACCAGGATGGCTCGCATCCACCGACGGCAATTGCTCCGGCAGGCTCACACTGGGATGCTCATGCGGACCGGGCGACGACCCTTTGTTGGAAGTGGGAGGACTGGATGCAACTCCGTACATCCCCATACCCAAGTCCGCGGAAATCTCGGGGGATGGCAGGTAGGGCGACGTTGCAGCGCTGCCATCGTCCAGCTTCTCCGTATCGGGCGGATCGATCATCTCATCGGGTGTCTTCGCCTGATCCACGACGGCGGCAGAAACGTAAGTATCAGAAGGGAGCAATTCCCCGGGGAATGGGTGATGTGGAATGGGGAAAGGGGTGAAGCATGGAGCACGAAGCATACTGTGGTGTCAACAAACATTAAAAATACAAACCGATGGATTTACCCTTTCCTGCGGAGGCGTCCTGGCCCAGTTTCTCGGGTCCAAGGCCTTGAAAGCCATTTCCCCGAATTTCAGCATTTTTGCACGCGAGGCCCATCGCGGGGGGGAAGCCACGGTCGACCTTCAGCAGGGCGGATGTCAAACGTTGCGGTCGCTGACGAGATCAGGGAAAGAAAGGAGCGAGAAGCACGAAAAAGAAAAGACCCGACCAGCGTTGGGGTTAGTATGCCACTAGCGACACGGGCATGCTCTTATTATTGTCGGTGTGGGTGTGGGAGCTGTGGTTTCTTTCATTTCTTTCATTCCGTGGAAATGCCCTGCCATCACGTCCGGACCGAGAGAGGAAACGATGCTTGGACACGTCGCATCGAGGCGCCTGATAGGTTCCGCTCTGTGCAACGTCGCCGGCAGAGCTGTGGACGCGGATTCGCAGACACTGAGATCCCTCCCCGTGTGACTGCGAACAACAGTCGTTTCAAGATCCGTTCCTCCTGATCCGGTCGGGGAAAGGCCTGCTTGGTCTAATCTAAACGCATGGCGCCGGTTCGCTGGCCCAACCGACTAGACTGGTTCGATAGCGTGATGGACGGTTGGTCTCACTGGCCAGTCCTCCCCCCTGCCGGTCGGCGAAGGGGGCAACGTGCGCGGAGGAGACGCATTATTGCCAAAGGATCAGCAATCAAGCCATCGTCGAGCCGACCCTCGTACCCGGATGGCGGTTGGGCCGAGCGTCAGCTGCGTGGGTCGTCTGCGAGTCAGCTTTCGACAACGCAAATGATGGAGACCGAGGGTCGTCGATGGCGACGATGGATGGGATAGGCGGATAACGACCAAGAGCCTCATCTGCGCTCTCCCCTCCCTCCCAAAGGACGATGGCGAACGCGCTCGTCCACGTTGGTCGGGCTTTTAAAGTCTCTCTCCTGACCATGCGAGCGTCCAAATCCAACACCTCTCGCCCGTTCCACACGCTGGATGAGGCGAGGCCATCGAGACTCAACAGTGGCTAAGGGAAGAATGCTGCCATCATGAGTGCGCATTACAACGCCAACAACTCGCGAGCCCACCGTCGCATGTCCGGTAAGAGAGCCACTCGATAATCGCGACATCCCCAACTGTTGCTGCAACGCACTCCGGTTCGGTGTACTCCCCGTGCTGATACACTGTACTACCCTAGGAGCCCAACATGGTGACCCTGGCAGAGCGGGCCACGACACCAGCTTTATGGCGCCGAGTGCAATAGACCCATCTCGGTAGGACCGAAAATCCCTCCTTGATAGCACGCCCTTTCGCTGACGTCCTCCCAGGGTGGTCCCTCGCTCGCCGTATGGGTACCCCGGGGACCCCGGTCCAACTGCATATGGCGACTCCAGGGCTCTCTATCAGCAGAACATCTCGCCTTACTCCACCCAGCCTGGAGTGTCGACGTCGGCTTCCTTATACCAGCCCACACCCCAATCCTCTGTGTATGTTCTGGGATGCGCAAGATGATGACCCAAGTTCAATCCAGATGTGCGTCGCACTGACCTCGGAATTCGAGTTGATAGGAACTATCCCCAAGGAAACTACACCCTACGGTCGAGTCAGCAAGCCAGTCCCGCTCAGATTGGGCATTCCGGTGAAATTCCAAATCCATACGTACACCAGCCTGCTTCAAGTATCACCCGAGGAACTAGTTACGAACATCGATCTTCTTTCTCGCAACCCTCCGGAATTGACGGCTTGACGGATGGCATCCGAAACCTAGCGACGAGTTCAACGGGGACCCAATGGTCGAGCTCGCCTGGCGCGGGCGATCCCGGTCATGCTCCAGGGATCTCTCATGTACGTTGTTCTGGCGGTGCCACGATCAAGGCGTCATCTAATTGCCCCGTCCAGTCGGTTCAGTCCCTGTCACGAGGGAGTGGCATGCCACATAATGTTATTTCGGGGACCAGCAGTACCCACAACACAACTTTAGACCCACGTACGTCGCGTTGGCTCCTATTTAAAACACGGTTATCTAACGATGTGCAGGCTATGTGGTGCAAAAGAGCCCCAGGAATTTCTTCAAGGTCGGAAGGGTAGGTCTCGCTCTGGCGATGTGTGCCCTGACTATATGGTCATATCCGACTCAGGGTTTATACAGGTCTTCGCCATTCTTTGGCACGAAAACGAAGGCTCCACCGGCCGCGGTACGCAGAGCTACATCAGCGAAGGCCCCGTGTACACGGGCCGGTTCAACGAGCTGGTCCATAGCGGGATCCGACGCATGGTAGTCGTGAAGGCGCTTGATCAGTGTGCTTGGTGCTTGTGAGTCATTTGGGTGTTTCTGCCGGGTACACCCGTCATACTGATCACCTTTCCAATAGCCCCGTGGGCACATACAGTCGCAAAGGGGTCGCGAAAGCCGGCGTGGATGCATCCAAACATGCCGTTATCTATATGCAAGGCACCGAGCCGCAGCTTGGCTCTGGCGAGCCTCGCATGACGAAGGGTCCGCTGGAAGTCGCCCCAGCCTCGCCCGACCAGAAATTGGATCACATGTCCCGATTGAATTTCGGGAAGATCTATACGGTCGAGCACAACGTGAAGGTCCTACCGGTTGGTAAGATCACCGAGCGATCGATGCCACGCTTCCAGAGCTATGCAAGAAATGAAATCAACATCATGCCTTAATGTGAAGTAGGTCTCGGTCTGCGACCGACTGCTCCGGAGTAGTTATTTGATTTCTCCTGCCTTTCCGTTTATCGTGCTCTTTGTTCTCTCCCAACCCTGCATTTTCGTCTCGGACTATCTGCCCCGAGGGCACCTACAGCCGTTGCTCTTGTTTACCCGCCATACGTTGTTCAAGGCAGAGATGCTAGCTGCCTTGAGATGTTCCTACATACGACCCACCGATACCTGATTGTAGCGTTTAATGACCTCTTCTGTTTGTGATTTGCTTTTTTAAATTCTGGTTGTGGTGCGCTGCGAACTGGCTGTCCTGATGAATCAATGACCATTGCTTTTTGTATATGGAGTATACTTCCTACGGCCTCAGGCATCCCTGTAGATAAGCCGATAAGCGCCGGTGGAGCCCCGAAATTCTGCCGCGGACAACCTCACCGCCCGACAGATTTTCAGACCCGGCGGAAAACTTTCCAGCGGCTTCAAACTCAGGATTCTTCGTGGTCACCACTCTTCCCCCCCAGTTCCCTCCCAGAATCCAACATGAAACGAAAGCTTGACGCCAACGATGTGCCCTCTCCGGAAGCGGTCGAGGGGAAGAAATCCAAAGATGCGCCCGACGTCGACTTCGAAAGTCTCAATCTGGACCCGCGACTGCGCCAAGCCTTGATAAAAGAGAAATTTACCAAGCCGACGCCGGTTCAGGCCAAGGCAATCCCTCTGGCTCTCGAAGGAAAGGATGTTCTCGGTATGCATTCGAGTCGTTGAACCTATCGAGAGCTCAACTCGCTAATGAGAACAGCTCGCGCAAAAACTGGCTCTGGCAAGACCGCCGCCTATGTGCTCCCAATCCTGCAGACCATTCTTCAGAAAAAGACGGTTCGTGCTGCTCTGCTTCTAGGTCCACCTTGGAATTTCGATCTGGTAGACTGACTGATCTTTTATTCGTAGGCCGACCCGTCCCTGAAAGCCACGACCGGCCTCATCCTCGTCCCTACTCGAGAGTTGGCCGATCAAGTCCAGAAAGTCATCTCCTCGTTCGCTGCCTTCTGCGGAAAGGATGTTCGCTCTGTCAATCTGACGCAGAAGGTGTCGGATGCGGTTCAACGTACGATGCTGGCCGACTACCCGGATCTGGTGGTCTCGACGCCGTCTCGTATCATCGCCAACCTCGGCAACTCCGCCCTCTCGCTGGAAAACCTGACACATCTTGTGATTGACGAGGCCGACTTGGTTCTTTCGTACGGATACGATGAAGACATCAATGGTCTGGCTAAAGCGATTCCTCGCGGCGTGCAGACGTTCCTGATGAGTGCCACACTGACCTCGGAGGTGGACACTCTGAAGGGCTTGTTCTGTCGCAGTCCCGTGGTGCTGAAGCTGGAGGACAAGGACGACCAAGGTGCTGGTGTGAGTCAGTTTGTTGTGAAGTGAGTAGCATTGCCCCCCCGTTCAAGTGCATTGGGATTCAGGGACTGATGGCGATTTCTCTTCTAGGTGCGCGGAAGACGAGAAGTTCCTCCTTACCTACGTCATCTTCAAGCTTCAATTGATCAAGGGCAAGGTGATCATATTCGTTGGAGACGTGGACCGTTGCTATCGTCTCAAGCTGTTTCTGGAGCAGTTCGGCCTGAAGAGTTGTGTTCTTAACTCGGAGCTGCCCATCAACTCCCGGATACATGTCGTTCAGGAATTCAACAAGGGTGTCTATGACATTATCATCGCTGCGGACGAACAGGAGGTCATGGGAGCCCGGAAATCTTCCAAGAAGTCCAAGGAAGATGATGAGGCGGTGGGTTCGAGTGACGAAGATGAGGACGAGACTGCCAAGTCCACCCGCACGGATAAGCGCAAGAAGATGACTGGCAAAGAGAAGGACTACGGTATCTCTCGAGGCATTGACTTCCAAAATGTCGCATGCGTGCTGAACTTCGATCTTCCCACGACTTCCAAATCATACACCCACCGCATTGGCCGTACCGGTAGGGCAGGCAAAGCCGGCATGGCCCTGTCGTTCGTGGTGCCCGCGGATCAGTACGGCAAGCACAAACCCACGAGCATCTCGTCTGCCAAGCATGACGAGACTGTCCTGGGCAAGATTGTCAAGCGGCAGGCCAAACTTGGACACGAGGTGAAACCGTACCACTTCGAAATGTCCCAGGTGGATGCGTTCCGATACCGTATGACCGACGCCCTGCGCGCCATCACCCGTCTCGCGGTGCAGGAAGCTCGTGCGCGGGAGATCCGTCAGGAGCTGATCAAAAGCGAGAAGCTGAAGCGCCACTTCGAAGAGAACCCCGAGGAGCTGCGCCAGCTGCGCCACGACGACGAAGTGCGCTCCGCCCGCGTGCAGCCGCACTTGAAGCACATCCCCGACTACCTGATGCCTTCCAAGGGTCGAAAGGGGATCTCGAGCGAGAACGTGGGGTACGTGTCGTTCAAGAAAGCCAGCGACAATCGGATCCGGAACGCGAGGGAGAAGAATCGGGGCAGGGGCAAAGGCAACAAAGGCCGGAATTACGCCGGCGTGAAGAAGAGGGTGGACCCGTTGAAGACATTCAACCGGGGGAAAAAGTGATTTGATCAAGTGCATGATGGCGTTGTTGTATTATGTATCCAGTTACCCTTCCATTTCCAATCAATATTGTAGATATTCCAGAGGCCTTTCTGTCTCTACCGTTCTCGTCCCCCGTTTGACCTGTGGTTCTTGAAAATAGACACTGAACTGTGGCGAGATAACTGCCTGCTTAACGCTATCAATACTAATCGCGAGGTTCAAATTATACGCCGCAAAGCAGCCAGCAATAAAGAAAGAAATGTAAACAAATGCCATGGAATAAATGCGAGTCTCCGAATGTGGGAGCAGAGGTCAGGCTGGTACCCCAGGCGTTAGACGTCATATCATCATGCCCCATTAGTTAACAAACAACATTGAAGTGGTCACGGTCCTTGGCCACCGCATCCTACGAGTAATTGGCGCTGAAACAATAGTCCGAGGCAATGACCGCAATGACCGTCGCCTGTTGGGAGATAAGGTCAGCCAATTCAGACACTTCCTAGGGACCGGTGAGCTACGCACCAGCGACATGTCCACCTCCGGCATGATGTCAATATCCATGATAGGTCTCCAGCCTCTCCTCGACTCCGGCAATAACGCCAGCGTTCGATTGTGTGGAATGCTTTCCCTGATCTCCGCGATCTTGCGATCCCCATCCACGACGTCAAAGGTCTTGATTACGTTGCCGTGCGTCTCGATCTCCAATTTGACCATCTTATCCTCCGCGCCCTTACACTCAAACGCCGCGAAGTTCTCAAACGCGAGATCGAAGCTGCCGAGCTGCGCGGCCGCAAACGATCTCCGGGGCACGGCGCTGGCAATGGTCGCTTTCTTGCTCCCAGGTAGACTGACGTTCCACGCCGGCCGAAACGAGATCTTCCGGTGGAGCTCGAAGAGTGGCAGTCCCGAGGCGTCGCGGAATTCTCGGCAGGGACGGTCGCTGAACTTCCGGCCGGTCACGGTGAACTGCGGGATGCCATCGAGGTCGGCGATACTGTAGGAGATCTCGGAGGACGAGTCGCCCACGGGCCTCAGGACCAGGGTGGTCCTGCGGTCAGTCACGTATTCCCTCCGGATGGCGACGGGGCGGTCGGGTGCTTTCAAGGCACGACGAATGCGCGAGTTGCGACGCAGCTTGGTAGTCGTGGTGGTCCCAGACATGATCTCTTCGTGCTGTCCTGTCTTCCTCTCGACGGGCACGTTTTCCTTCCCACCGTTCCTGCGGAGAATGTGGTGTGATGCGGTGTGGCGTGGGAGGGATACGATAAGCGCCGTTGGATCGTGCGAGAAACTGCGGGGGGAGGTGGCGTGCTTATAAACACCGGAGAGGGGGAGGAGGAGGTTCTAGAGACCAGGCTAATCTAATCCGCCATTAGTTTGCCTGAAGAGGATAGGATGTCAATAAATGCCTCCAGATGGAACTAGAGCGAGAGACATGTCGGTGGACGGGCGTACCTGTTTTCTTCGGGCAGATTGATTGGTGAACCGCCCGGGGACCCACGATGATTTCATCGATAACTGCCCGGGGCCTTGGGGGGTTCCGCGGTCGGCCTGTAAGCATCATAGCAGGGCTTAGAATGTCGGATCCACATGGTGAATCCAACCGAGTTGGTGCTGCGGTTGACTGTCGCGGGAGAAAAAGGCTCAGCTTCCAAGGCGGCGAGCGTTGGCTTATCCGGCTGGCCTGAGCGCAGTCCTCAGGATTCTTGTTTTTTACTTTTTATTTTTTTTTTATTTTTTTATTTTTTTCTTTTCTTGATCTGGTTCTCTTTTGTACTCCAAGGGTGGGTGCAATTGCCAATTCTCTGGATCGGACGTTCATCGAGGGAGTCTGTCGGCATTCCAGGGAACATATTTTACGGAGTGGATTGGCTACTCCGTAAGTATCTCCCGGCAACGCGATAAACAAGGTCTTCGGACGGCATCTCAATGACGTCTGCGAAGATCGATTATTGACTTGGTGTGTCCAGTTTCCAATCTGGTCTGCTGTCTTCTGTTCTCCGTGTAGTCGAGTAGCCATACCCATCTACCTCATACTATCTCATACTACAGTGCTATATATAGTCCGTGGACGCAGGACCTGAAGGCGCTAGTCCCGATCAATCCACAACCCCTGGCGCCAGTCTCTTTCGGGCGCCGCACCCGTTGGCCCTTCGAGGACTGAGATCGTGGAATACGAGATGGTCGGTAGAGATCCCAGGCAACACAATCCAGTCCCCGGCCGGGTGATCCAGTGATCCAGTGATCCAGCCTTTTCGACCCCGAGTAAGGTAGTGTGTTGATCCTTCCCCGGACGCCACCGCCAAGCTACAGGGTTGCAATCCCACGGTGAAGTGTAAACGCCGTGGTCGACGGGCAACGCATCACCTCCCAAAGGCAGCCTCCCAGGGATACTCAGCCTGATACTAGTCGGCAGTCCCCACGGTCCCAACGCCCAATCCAAGTCTCGCAGCAAACCTGCTCAAGGACGAGGCGACGATCGGAGTGGGGGACGACGCCAAGCCTCTCCTTATTAAGCACAAAGGGCCAACCTTTTCACCGGCGGTGCGCTGGATCGTGTCTGGACGCGCGGCGAGAACCTCCAGAGCATGCAATCATGATAGTATGGCGCCAATGTATGCCCCTTCGGCGCTGGCGGGCGCTGCTCTTGTCTCCTCTTCTTCTACTCGTGTTGTATTCTCTCCTCCCCTATGACCACCCCGTGCGGCTCTCCGTCCGCTTCAACCTGAACGCCGCCGCCGCCGCCGTTCCCACGCCCTTCCCCGACCGCTGGTGGCTCGCCGACCATCACGCCGCCTTCCCCGTCACGCTGCGCGACGAGGTCGCCGTCGTGGTCAAGTCCGGCTACGGCACTCAAGGTCGCATTGCGCCGTGGCTGCAAGCGCACGAGGCGGCGGATCTCGACAACCTGCTGCTCGTCGGAGATTTCTCCACGCCACCCGGAGACCCCTACAGCTATCATGGCCAACCCGTCCAGGTGCACGACATCGTGGCGCGAATGCTGCACAACTCATCTCTGCCCGCCAATTTCGCGCACCCGCGACTGTCCAAGTATGCCAATCTGACTGGCGCCATCGCCAGCGGAGACGCCGACACAGCCCGCGACCTCTCGAGGTCTTTCGGATGGGAGCTTGATGCTCTGAAGGTACGACTGTCTTTTGGACTTGGCGGCTCACGATTGTCTCAAGAAGGAAACTGACCGTCGATAGTTTATTGCCGGCCTGGAGCTGTGCTATCAGCAGATGCCCGATAAGAAGTGGTACATCATGGCGGACGACGATACTTATCTTGTGCAGCCTTCCGTGCGGCGGTTGCTCGGACACCTGGACCCGACCGTGCCTTACTACATCGGAAATGCGGTAGGCGACTACAAAGGCCGGTTTGCCCACGGGGGATCCTCCTTGATCCTCTCCCATGCGACCATGAGGACCCTTTTCGCAGATCCCGCCGCCGTGTGGGCCGCGCATATGGAGGCCCTCGAGGAAAAATGGGGCGACAAGCTCGTCGCGACCGTCCTGATCAAGATCGGAATCTACCTCGACGAGCGGTACACCATTTTCTTCAACGGAGGCCAGCCGCCGGCCACCAAAATCTCCGCGGAGCGATTCTGTGCCCCGATCGCCTCTTTCCACGGGCTAGCGTCTTCGTCCGAGATGCTCCGCGTCGGACGAACATTCCAACATCTCGCCGATCCCGTCCTGTGGATTGACTTATGGGATCTGTATCACGCGCCGCCCCTCGATTCTCCCGTGCTTGACTCCGGACACGATAACTGGGACTACGTGGGACGCTTGGACGAGCATACGATGAGCATCAGCGACGTGAGCTCGGTCGGCACCTGTCGTCACATCTGCCAAGGTCGCTCGAGCTTCTGTCTGGCGTGGACGTGGGATTCACGGGAACAGGTCTGCCATTTGAGTCCGTGGATGGTCGTGGGCGAGTCGGCCGCGGGCAAGACGTCGGGGATCAATGTGGCTCGCGCCAAGGGTCTCGCGGGCCAGTGTCGATGATCGGGATCAGGGAATTCGGCGTTATCAAGGCGGTTTTAGAATATTTGACGATATATGTAGATAGAGAGACATGATACCCTTATCGCAGCTACCAGCACTCCGATGGAGAGATGACTTCCCCCGCAATCGCCGTAGGGCAAATGTCCAAAATCCGTAAGAAATCAAGTCGCACTTCAGCCGGGGGGGGGGGGGGGGGGGAACTCTGCTATAAAAGCTGACCGACTAGGACCGGGGATTGATTAATTAATTAACCAGTTACTCCGTTCTCCGGAGTAATTCTGGCACATGCACCCTCGGGCTGCATAACCCGGCCTTGTGTGCACATCGCGTTGTGCCAAGGCCACCAGGGCTGGCCTCAGGAATCCACCCTCTCAGCCTCGCCAGGCACGGGAGCTCCACGTGACGCGGGCGCGGTCTTGCGCGTCGCCGGACCGATGAATGCTTTTGTTTCAGGTCAACATTCCTTTGGCCGCCTCATTGTGCCGGCCAAATTCCCCGGCACCAACAGCGTCCTCATCTTTCGCAGCATCGATTCGGCCATCTATCCGCTGCAATGTTCGTCCGAGCTCCAACCTCGTCGCCCTACGAATCGGTCAAGACTCCTTGTTCTGCCAAGGAGTCCTTCATCTCGAGTTCTCGACCGATGACTGGCGACACAATCCACTTTCGCGGCCCACTTTAGCTTATTTGGCCCCTCAAGTGGCCCCAGTACCCTGGCCCTGCCTCCCAACAAGGCCCTGATCGTCGACTCAGGGCTCATCTATCCGTCTTGGTACGTAAGCCCTTCCTGCGCTTCTGAGTTTTCTCTTTTTTTTTTCCCTCCCCCTCTCGCTCTGCACGGTTGTTGCCCTCGTCGCTTACATCCGCTCGTCAAACTATGGTAGTATCGAGGGCTTTGGGGCAACCGAATATCCAAGCGGAGAACGGAGAATTTCTCATGCGACGATGCGCGTCGTCGCTCGGTTACGCCTGACGACGCAGCGTTGGGATTCAACGCGACGTTAGCCCGCGGGCAATCCACCCTTTCTCATATACGTACCCCGTAGTAAGTCAAGACCTGAATGCCACGATGATGTCGTGTGGGGAGCATCGGTCCCGAAATAGGCAGTGTTTGACAGACCCTCCCACGCAGTAGGACGATCACTGTCAGAATCGGCAATCTCTTTCCCTCCTAGCCTGGCTTTTTGACTCTTGGGAACCGCGCTTTGCAGGCGTCCTTAAGTTGGCCAAGGAAAACCCATCTCCCTGCCAGTTGTAAATGCGTCACCAACACTTGTAACCGCCCTTTCTGCCCCATGTGGACGCTGCCATGCACCCCATTCCCCTGATCTAGTTCTCATACGGCCTGGATCAAGGAGCGCGTTCGCAGTCCCTTCGTGGATTCATATTTCCATTCGACTCGAGCCGACCCTCTCTCATCTTTCCCCTCTACCCTCTCTCTCGTCTCTCGTTGGCCATGTTGTGGTCTAAAGGCCGTCTACCCAGCCCGGGAACGGTCCTTGTCCCTTCACATTCATATGCTCGTCGCATGCTCCTGACTTTTGCTCTGGTATATTGTTTCCTCATTTTGTTCACTCGATGGCACACCTTTCGGGATCCGACGTCGGCTTTCTTCGATTCTTCCACCGGGTACTTGCCCGCCTACTCCACGGTGCGATTTCAGCAGGCTGATCGCTACATCAACGACGCCAACAACGGCGCCGCTTACACCCAATGGAAAGCCTCGGAAAGCCCTCGCATGTGCGTGGGCGTCGCCTCCGTTGCCCGAAAAGGCGCTCGGTATTTCCGGAGCGCTGTGGGCTCGATATTGGAAGGCTTGAGCGAGGCTGAGCGCGCAAACATGTATTTGATTCTATTCATCGCCCACACAAATGCAACGGAACACCCTGCCTATTCTGAGCCGTGGCTCCACAACGTGGCCGACCGGGTCCTGCTGTACAACGAAACAGAGGTCGATGTTAACCACATACACGACCTTGAGACCGATTCCGCCAAGTTCTTCGCCCGGGAAAAGGCCTTGTTCGACTACACGTACTTGCTCAAGGCATGTCAGGACGTCAATGCTTCCTTTGTCTCTATGGTGGAAGATGATGTCCTAGCTTTGGATGGGTGGTTCCATCGGACGCTCTACGCCGTCGACGAGGCAGATCAGATGACAGTGGACAAGGGCGCATCCAGCTGTGAGTGGCGCGATGGTCTACTCAACCGAATATGAAGTATAGGGACGCTAACACGACCAGGGCTCTACCTGCGACTCTTCTACACCGAACAACTCCTCGGTTGGAATTCCGAGGAGTGGCCGGCCTACCTCTTTGGCTCCGTTATCACAGTCGGCTTCATCGCCTGCGCCCTACTTGGAATCCGTCGCTACCAACCCAAAATCCGGCCAATGCTTCCCGACGACACGATCTTGCTTCTCTGCTTCATATGCACTCCGCTTCTTATCGGACTCTATTTCGCCGCCGGACGAGTCACCATGCGTCCTATCCCGCCCGGAGTGCACGAGATGTCTCGATTTGGATGCTGCTCACAAGGCTTCGTGTTCCCGCAATCGCGAGTCCCTGATCTCATCCATCTGTACGAGGAAAGAAAAGCCGGTTACGTCGATATGCTCACCGAGGACTTTGCCAACGCGAACGATGAGATTCGATACGCAATCACCCCAAGCGTCCTGCAGCATGTAGGGCGGAAAAGCTCCAAGGAGGCGGACTGGAACAATACCAAACCCAAGCAGGGGATCACCGATCTATGGAACTTTGCCTACGAAATGAATGATCCGGCGTATTTACGCCAGGAGCATGATGCATTCCGGGAGCGCCTATAGAATCTACTCACATATACCCACAGCTTTTCCCTTCTTATAGTTCGTTCTCCTTGCTTGCTTGCCGAAAGCATAAGCAATACTGATTTAATATGAATTATATAGTTTAATGAATGAAAACGATGCGAGATGTGCCTAACTACTAGGGTAGGCGGGCCGTAAACGGCATAGGGTTGAAAGGGCAGTGCTGCTCGTCTCAAGCCGACAATGATGGATTCACTGTACAGAATGACGAGCCATTGATCCCCTGATATGCTTTTGGAGCATATGCCACAGGTGATCCTGCTTTCGTCGAACAAGAACAAAAAGAAGATGAAAAGGTCAAAACAAGACGGGCTCGAAAGATCTAGACTCCCAGAGACCATTGAAACTGCTTGGGGCAATGCTCTAAGCTGGAAGTGCAGCTCGACATCGCGCATGCAAGGGGGCTGCGCGATCCAGGAACCAGCCCTGTCCACAGGGGAAGTGAGGACTCTTGCCAAGAATTGCCTGTTTTTCCCTTGCTCCTGCTATGGTCGATCAGGTCTGGTTGTAAGCTTGCATCAACCGGCAGAGCCCTACTTTCTTCAAAAAAAACAACGACGTCTGAGCATGGAACCATGGTTCTGACAAAAGCAAAGCGCTATAATTCGACAGCCAAGCGGAGATGGTCGCCAGTCATGATGAGTCAACATGAATCACGGCCCCACGCCAAGTGACAACATCGACGGGACTCCAGGTGAACCCGGCGATTTAAATAAGCTACTGGGGTCGAATCCTTTCAGATATCACACCATCTCACTCCTCAAAGACACAACATCCAGCCCATAGAACTGAAGCTATTCGTCCCATTCGTCCTTCACTATGCCGACAACCTCGACACCACCCAGCTCCATCGTCTTCTATGACATAACCATGCGCCCCCCCGTGGAGAAGACCTGCTGTTCACCGAACCCCTGGAAAGCCCGAATGGCACTCAACTTCAAGGGTCAGCCATATTCGACCTCCTGGGTGGCCCTACCCGACATTCCCAAAGTCCGCAGCAGTCTCAAAGTACCGCCCTGTCGCAAATTCGCCGACGGCACCGACTTCTTCACCCTGCCGATCGTCGAAGATTCCGCCACGGATTCATCAATCGGCGACTCTTTCGATATCGCGGTCTACCTGCAGAAAACGTATCCGACCTCGGGCGCGGGGGACCTTTTCCCCCCTCAGACGCTGGACTTCGTCTTTAATCATGATTACATTCCACTGGTACCGCTCACGGAGTGTGGCGAGAAGAACTTCCCCGAGTATGCCAAGTTCAATATGAACATCGACGCAGCCTTTACCGCACATGTGCAGCTGGCGGTTCAGGGGTTCCCCTTCCATCCCGCCACTGCCGACATCACCAAGGCCGAGTTCGTTCGTCGCGCGGGTGTTACGTGCTGGGAAGACTTTGCGTTGGTCGGCGCGGACCGAGAGAAGGTAAAGGACTCGTTCCGGAATATGCTGGGTGGTCTGGCGAAGCTATTCCAGAGAGACACTAGCGGCCCTTTTCTCCTCGGAACACGAGCGAGTTATGCGGATATGATTGTCGGGGGATGGCTGCGAATGATGCGCGTAACTCTTCCGCAGACTGAATGGGATGAGCTGGCAAGTTGGCATGGGGGTCTTTTTGGTCAGTTGCATGATGCGTTGGAGATATACGCGGAGGTGAAATAGCATGCTAGACAGCACTGTATTAGGCGCATATGAAACGATACTATGAATGACAACCCTGCTTATGCTTTGCACACCCCTGGCTCTAACATGGGAAGGTGTCATGACCAGAACCTGTTAAAACTCTACATAGCAAACCTACTCGGGATCATTTGTACTCTGGCCATTGGGCTGCTAGAGCCCTTGCACCCTTTCTGCGCATCTCGTGTCATCCCCGTCTTAGCATCTACTAAGGATCCTGCGTTCTGGATTTATCATCTAGGCATGATAGGTTTGTTCTAGGCCTCGCCGTGGCTGGGTTTTGCCCTTGACATTAAAGACCGTATCGAGACCGGCCGTCTTTTTGACTAGGACAATGAATGCATCTGGTCTTGCTCATGAGAATAGGTCACTTTAGGCAGAGTTTCAGCAGACATAACGTAAAAAGCTATTGATTGTGTCACAATTCATGTTATGAGCGATAGTCCGAGTATCAGGCTATGTAGCCTATGGAGATGCTGTGTATAAATCGCAGTGGCCCGACCAAGCTTGATTAAGTAAAAATAACAAAAGAAAGTAACCACCTAGCTCGGCAGCAAAGAATTTCCATCAAGATAGTGCTTCTGCCGGCCTGAGCCCCTGGATAGCCATGGAGCGAGTCGCCATGTACCGGAGTTTGTCCAGATTCCAATTCCAAACATCATTTGGGTTTCGTCCGTCAGGCACTACTCCCCCAGGGTAAAAGTCTTTCCGATACCAAGTCACGGTTTGGGCGGAGGTTTGTGATGGAGGAACCGGAAAGATTTGCTAGAATAGAAGGCCCGTTAGAGGTGAAAGAATTATATTAATCAGCCTAGAACTTACAACTCGAGGAGAGACGGTACCATCCCTGCAATGTATTTCTAGGGATCCGGCGACCTCCTTATCGCGTTCATCATGCCACATCACCAAGAGCACAGCATTGACGTGTGGGGCCCCACACTGCAGCCAGATATCTTTATCCTCCAGGAGTTTAGGCCACGAATCGCCATGTCCAGTTTCGATAGCAACACAGGGAAGGAGGTTAGCACTGGTATGAATAAATCCACCACCATCCTTGTAGATATTTTCCCAGGGGTGTGGGAATCTCTCAAATCCCATATGCCTCTTATTAGTGACACAATTCAGGCAGAAAACTCTTCTACTAACCGCCATTGAAAAAGATATCGAAATCCTCTAACTCGGCCCGGGAGAAAACGCCCGACCTGACTGCTCGAAGCTCCTCATATAGCACCCAGCAGGGCACACTCGCTCGCGGGTTTGAGGACATTCTGATAGATAGCCGACCGACAGTAGGATTGAATGTAACATTCGGATTGCAGTTTTCAACATCGCCGTCATCGCAGAGGCTTCTCGCCACCCGGTATCCTATTTCGGGAGGGATCCCTACTGTCTCGAAGTAGCTAGGGCTGTCGGCGGTAGTAATCCACTGGGTCAAATAGGCACGCAACTGAGTCTCGTTTATTGACAACGAAGACATGATGTGTGATGTTGACGTCCAAGCCTACGAACGAAGTCGAGGAATAGAAGGAAGAAGAAGGAAGACGAGCGGTGAGTCCAAAGGTTGAGATTGTGGGAATAATAGGCAGGGTGAATGAGGCACAGAAATGTATCCAAATATCAAGCGAGGAACCTCCGTCTATGTGGGGTTGAATTCGCTCAGATGAACAGGTCTTTATTCTATGGTTCGTGACAGAGTTGATATGTCATACTGAAAGGCACGGATGAAGAATCCGCCGGAGTACTTGAATTGACGTAGGCGGAACTACATCAGGCAAGCGAGTGTCATAGTGGACAACAGTGGACCGGTTCTCGATGATGAGTGTGCCCTACCTAGGTTGTATATAAGGAGGAATAGCTGGTCTTTGCTAGAGGGGCTCAGGTTGGTGTATGGTTTTGTACACATTAACCAGTTAACCCGGGATAAGAAGGCTTTTAAGCTAATCGTTTTATTTCAAAGAGGAGTCGATTTTATATAGTCTATCTTGTCTTTTGGTACCCTTCAATAAACCCCAGTTTGCTGGACAAGGATTACTGCCTGAGGCATGAAAGACTGTAACTGCCTGTTTGGGAAGGGTGCCAATTCAATGGCCAATAAGAGCGTGGCAGACGACCCTAGTGGGTCCTCGGCATTCCCCCATCAGGCATCCGCGGACGGGTGCCTTAGGGTCCGAACTTCCGGCTACAGGAGGTGATACTGTCCCCTGGATTCTACATTTGATTAGAAAGTCCAGGAAAAAAAAAGATCACACTGCATTTTCCCCTGTGGTTCATCCCGGAGGAGCAAGTTAGTTTGCAGAGAAAAATCAGGGCATATGGTCCGTCAGAAGGGCGAGTGGCGACCGAATCCGTCAAGACAAGGGCTTGGGCTCGGCAATTCACCCCAGCTGCTGACTGCATGAGGTCTTCTAGGATAGGCCAGCTTTGGATGCCGGTTATGCCCGCTATGCCCGCTATGTCGGACGGAGCGAGTCTGGAAGGGCGCCGGATTATGCCACGTGACTGGATAGCCCTCATTCTGCGGCGATTCTGCGCCTCTCAAGTCGAGCGTTGGCCAATGCTTTCAGGCTGTGAGATATACTACCTTGTCGCTTTAATAAAGCCGTGGGGGCGCTTGGGGGCCGCGGAGTGGAGCTGGCAGCTCGAGGACTTTGGACATAAAAGGCGAGCCTCGGTGCAACGATAGTATAGACAGCACGTCACACCATATTCCAACAATAATCCAGACTAGCCATGCCGACTCTGACCGAACTCGCCGAAGAGGCCTTGGCAAATGCTCGACGCCTCGACGCCTATACCGCGGCGCAGGGCCTCCCCCTCGTCTCGCTCGACGACGACACGCTAACGCGCGCGGAGCTGCCGGCCGAATTGCAGACGACGCGGTCGGCGCTGGTCGACTCGGCGCAGATGATGAAGCGATTGGCACAGGGTCCGTTGCTGAATATGACGGAGATGTTGTTTAGCGTGCGTGCCCCACCAGTCTTGATCTACACCGACAAGGAAATTAACCACAACGCAGTTCACCGATATCATCTCGATACAAGCCATCTACAGGTACGATCTACCCAGCCAGGTCCCCCTGACGGGGACGGCATCCTACGAGGACATCGCACGGGCAGTGTCCCTGCCGGAAGGCATCTGTCGGCGATTCATGGTGCATGCCATGGAGAACGGCATCTTCGAGGAAGTCGAAGGGCGCGTAAAGCACTCTGCCTTCTCAAGGATGCTGGCCGAGGACCGCGAGGCCATGCAGGCGATCGGTATGATGGTCGTAGACCTCATCCCCGCTGGGCACCGCACCCTGGACGCGCTGGCTCGCTGGCCGGCCTCTTGCGAGCAAACGGAGACGGGATTCAACCTGGCTCACGACACGAACCTGCCGCTGTACGCCTTCCTGTCGCAGGATCCCGGGCGGATCAGCCGGTTCGGGACCGGCATGAAGTTCTTCTCGCGTGGCGGTGGATTCGATCTGAAGTTCTTGGTCATGGGCTTTCCGTGGGCGGAGATTGATCGCGAGGATGCCCTCGTGGTGGATTGCGGTGGCGGCGTAGGCACCGTGTCGCGCCGACTGGCCGAATCGACCGAGAAAATGCACTTCGTGGTGCAGGATATGGCCGGACCGGTGGCTCTGGGCCAGCAGACGTTGCCCGCCGAACTGCAGGACCGGGTGCGGTACGAGGTCGGCGATTTCTTCGCGGAGCAGAAGCTGGTTGGGGCAGATGTCTATTTCTTCCGCTGGATCTTCCACAACTGGAGTGACGCGTATTGCGTGCGCATTCTGCGCAACCTAGTTCCGGCGATGCGCGCCCATTCGAAAGTGGTGATCTACGAGTATATCCTGGCGGAGGAGCCGGAGCTGAAGTGGTCGAGGAAACAGGGCCGGTGAGTTTGCCTTTCCCGTGGAGTGGGCCATGTCCATCACTAATGTCGCCAGGAATTTGGATATGGTCATGATGGCCGGTTGGAATGCCGAGGAGCGATCTATGTCGCAGCTGAGCAGGGTGTTTGCGCAGGCAGACGAGCGATTTGTGTTGGAGGGATCGTGGCAGCCGGAAGGCAGCACCATGACGGCGATTTCTTTTGGATGGAAGGAATAGGATTGGTCACGACCTTTGAGAAATACGTACGGCTGAAATGCATTGGATCTGCAATACTTGAATTCCGGGATGATCGACCAACGGCCTGCAACTGAAGGGATCCCAACCCACTGTGGGTCGCAGGATCAGCTAGAATACGTACATCCATGGATGCTCTAGGCCGAACAACGGAATTTACCGAGATTTAGTGTGTCTGGCATCAAACTTGCGTTATCATTTTGCTTTCGTCTGCTCGTCTATGGAAACATCAAACTCTCTAGGCGGAGATCAAGTCCGCCGCCTTCTCCGCGATGGCATAAATCACGGCCTGGTAGTGACCGGTGATCGGGACGGGCAGCACGCTGGCATCAACCACGCGCAGGCCCTGCACGCCCTTCACGCGGAGCTGCGTGTCCACCACCTTGCCCATGGACGCCGATCCGGCGGGGTGGTAGAAGGTCTGGCCGCCTTGCTTAACCACCGCGTCAATGGCCTCGTCCGACGAGTCCGGTCCCAGGGGGGCGAAGCCCGGTCGAGTGAGTTCACCCTCGACAATGCTCTGGCCCTCGGGCGTCGCCGTCAAGACGCGGGCGACTTGACGGATGGCTGCACGCAGAGCCGCCCGATCAACCTCGGTGGCGTAGTAGTTGGGGTCGATGACCGGCGCCGTCTGCGCGTCCGCCGACGCCAGGGTGACGCTGCCGCGCGACGTGGGCACCATGCCGAGCACCGCCGACGCAATATGCGTGCCGTCCATGGGCACGTCGACTCCGGAGATGGCGGCCCCGGCGGGCGCGTAGACGACCAGAGTCTCGGCGTGCAAGAAGTCAGACGCCAGGTAAGGGTGGCCTTCGACCGTCTCGCCGTCGACCTTCAGCGCCCGCTCGATGTCGGCCCTGGGCGCCTGCACCGTGGCGTTCCAGTCGCAGGGCAGACCCAGGCCATACGCGGGACTGTTCCACTTGGACGTGCCCATCGACAAGCCCTCCTCCGGGTTGCGCAGCTTCCACCACTGGTTGAAGGAGAAATGGTCGTGGAAGTTGCGTCCGACGTCCGGGAGGTCGGCCACCACGGACAGCCCGTGCTTCTCAATCTCTTCGCGAGGTCCAATGCCCGACAGCAACAGCACCTGGGGCGTGCGATACGCACCGGCGGACACGACCACCTCGGAGCGCGCCGTGAACGAACGTCCGTCGACCGTCTCGACGCCAACCGCCGTGAGCTGGCCGTCGCGCGTCTCTGTCAACACCTTCTGGACCAGCGTCTCCGTCACGATGGTCACGTTCTTTTGCTGGCGCAGACCGTAGGCCTCGCTCGACAGCTGCCGCTTGCCGTCGCGCCAGTTCTCCGTCAACTCGTGAATGCCGAACGGCTTTCCTGCGCTCGCGTCGCCGACGACCGGCACGCCCACGCGCTCCCAGGCGGCCCGCAGAGGCTCCTTCAACGGGTACTTGCGCTCGTCGCTGCTCGCCGACACGGTGACGTTCTGAATGGGACCGTCCTTGCCGTGGATGTCCTCGTCGGCGGCAGCAAAGGGGACCTTGCTCTCGGCGCGCTTGAAGTAGGGCACGAGGCCGTCATAGCCCCAGGCGGGGTCTCCGACCTGCTTCGCCCAGAGCTCGTAGTCGGCGGAGTTTCCGCGCGTCCAGGTGCCGTAGTTGGTGGCCGAACCACCGCCGACAGCTTTGCCGGCGGCGTTGTAGCAGACTCGACCGTCGAGATGCGACTGCGGCGTCGTGCTGTAGGCCCAGTCAAGCGGCGAGTAATGGGCGCCGAAGCAAGCCATCGGAGCGCCTGTCAGCGGGTGATCGACCACGGACGAACCGGCCTCGAGCACGAGAATCCGTGCCTCGGGGCTCTTTTGCGCCAGGCGAGAGGCCAGAGCGCTGCCCGCCAGCCCGGCGCCGATGACGATGTACTCGTATTCGTCGGAGATGGACATGGTGGATTCAGGAATGAGGATTCAGGATTGAGGAATGAGGATTGTGGATTGGCCAAGTGCAACGGGCACAGAAAACCACGAAAATAAAAATAAAAATAAGGAAATCAAGGAAATGCAAATGCGAATCCAACGGAGGCAATCGAATGGAGGATCGAGAGTCTGGACATCTCCAAGCCCGCGGATTTAAATAAAGGGGCTATCCAGCCCCACGAGAAACCCCTCCACGACGGCGGTGATAGGGATTAGGACCGGAGTAATCCAGAATGGTCGTCCGGGTGGGTTGACAGCAACGGGTTACATCGTCTGCCCTTAGCGCTGACGCCAGATCTGAGCGATGGGCTCTAGATCTGACTCGCCCATGGGGCCAGGCGTCCAGCAGTCTCCACCCAACTAACTGTCTTGATCCTGGCGGAGGAGGGAGGGGCACGCAAGGCTGGAAGCAGAAACCTGAGAACGTGAGAATGATTGATTATATGGTAATTGCAGTAATTGTAATCCCAAATCCCCCGGGGTAAGTCCACCAACTCCGTTGAGACGCCGTAATGTACATGCATCCTAATGCAACTGCGTAGAAAACACAACCCCCCAGCGCAGCGGCCGTCGCAGAAAAGTCCCCACGCTAAATGATCACCTTCTGGCCGTTAACCGCTTCCAGTCTAGATCACGCCGTCTCTCGCATCACCTGCATCTCCCACTGCGTCTCGACCGTGATTTGTTGCGCCGGTTTTCGGCTGGCCATTGTGTCAGTATCCGTGGTCCGCCCAAATGGCATCGTCTCCTCGCTGGCTTCGAGCCGCCGCACCTTCGACACTTGGCGGAAATACCGGAACCGCCGCACCAGCGGGCCCAGCAGCGGACCGCAGGCCACCGTGATGCCTAGCGCGGGCTCCAGGAAGCTCCACATGAGCGGATATGCCGCCGAGTACGTGATGTCCATGAAATCCGTCTCCATGAGGCTCTGGATGCGAAGAATGCTGATGATCATCGTGCTAGGCGCCGCGTTAGTTCATATGCGCGGAGAGGAGTGGGTCGGGGTGCAGCAAAACCCACAGAATTCCCAGCCCGAAGATCCCGAACAGGGCCACGCGATTCCCCTTGCTCACTTTCAGGTTGTAGATCATCGGTAGCGGCAGCACAAATACGCAGACGTCCGTGGCGAGATCCAGCACCCCCACGGCGATAAAGGTCGCCTTCTGGTTGGCGCAGTGGCCGCCCGGGATCGTCTGGTCCCAGTTGAAAGCCAGCGGTCGGCACAGCAGGAACGCCGTCAGGATGACCATGATGCCCCAGGAGAGGATGAAGCCGATGGTGACCCAGGCGGCGATCCGGAAGGTTCGCACGAAGAAGATGCGGCTGTAGAACAGACAGATGGACGTCTTGATGAGGCCCAGCGTCGATCCGTAGAATGCCTGCATCGCCACGAGGATCTGCCGACGAGTTAGCCAGCCGAACCGTTTCGAGCCGTCGGCGACCGGTGCGTTGGTCGCGTTGGTTGTGTTGGCTTTCCTGCCGGGGGCCATTACCTTGAGGAAGTTCGGGACATGAGACGGCGGGGATTGGTCGGCGTGGTGGCCGGCAGATGAGATAAAGACCTCTGCACCATCACGATTAGCGTCGAGAGCCACAGGGTAGCTCGAGGAAGCAGGGTGTTCGTCACGTACGCAGCAGCACGGCGACGGCCATGCCGTACAGAAGAAACTAGGCATCGTCAGCATCCCCAGCCCTCGGGAGCAGCCAGCGCGACGCACCTGAGCAGCAAAAATCACATAGTCCTCGGCCAACAACTTGGCTCGATTCATCCGCTTGGCAACCAGTCGCAGCACGACCGACGCGGTGGCCGTGATCGTGAAGACGATGGTCACGACGAAGATGGCCACGCTGCGAGGAGTGCTCAACTGGTCAGCGGCCGTCCGGTGGGCGGGCGATTGGTCCATGATGGCAGGGCAGGACAGGCACGGCAGAGACTTCCAAGTTGATTCTGGAACTCTGCGTCGATCGCTCACGAGCGATCGTTCTGGTGACGGGCACCCTTATGTAGAAGCTCATGGTCTCTGCAGGGGTCGAGGCCAAACTGATTGGCCGATGCGAGGGGCGAAGCGCAGGGAAAGGACCGGAAATGGCAAGAATGAGACGAGCAACCCTGGAGAAATCCGCCGTGGCCCCCAATGAACGTGCAGAAGGTATCTGCAGTCATCATCTCGCGTGGAGGGCATGCATGAGCAAACCTGACGGACGGAGGGGGCGGCCCCCAGCCCTGATATATCACCGTGGACTCACCATGGACCATGCTCTTGGGTCCCCAGACCAATCCTTTGCGCCGGGCCTCCAGCGGGCACGGTGGCAGGATTTTAGTGATAACGGTGACAGGATCCAGGTTGATTGAATCCCGAAGCTGCGCCGGTCTTCAGTCACAAATCCTGCGGCTGCTTATTGTCTGACTGCGTGCCTTAGCGCCTGCCTGGTCGGGTTTAGCGCGTCCCGTGCAGAACGCTAAGTATGGACTTCCTGCGCGTCGGTTGACGGTGGCTGCAGAAAACCTCATTTCCATCGACTGGGATCCCCCCGTCTGCTGATTCCATCCATCCGCCTTCGCCAGCGGCTACGGCGACGACAGCTCCCGTCATCATTTACCAATCCTGCCCCGCGGTAGCATGCAATTTGACGCCCAAGCCTCGTGGGGGCCTTGCTCGGTCGTTCGGTCGTTCGTCGCGTTGTCGGCCTGACCAACACTCTGGAGTCGGTCGGTGGAGCCCGTCAAGCCAACGGTCAACCTAGACCGCGGCGTCCTGGCAGCCACGGGACGAAGCCAGGCAAATTGCACGGGTTGATTGCCATCAATCAACAGAGCAGAGATACCGCTAGCCGTCGGCTCCGGGCTTCATGCGCCAATGGGCAGCTCGTGGGAGAAATGCACGTTGCATTCGGAGCCCCCGAGCCCTCGTGGGAGCCGGCCAATTATTGTAGTGTCCTACTCCGCACTTTATGACTGCGTCCGCCTGGATGGCTACCGGCCGGGAGATAGTGCACCGCCCTGATCCCCCAGAATAAATACTAAATAGCCACCGAAGCGTCAAACCGCGAGGATTGCCTCTAGGATCCAAGCGAGAATAAGCCTGCCCGGTTCTGACCATGGTCAATGCGGTCGACGTGCTCCATTTTGGAGATCAAACGGTGGATATCCGTTCCTCGCTGCAGGAATTGGTCCATCTGTCCAAGTCATCCCAGACGCTTGCCACCTTCCTGCAATCCAGCGCCGACACTCTGCGGGCAGCCTTATTCGCCCCGCCGTCGGCCAGTCTTTCCGAATCCTCGTGGCGCTCGCTGCGAGACCTAGGTGATGCCTTCGCGGAAAGTCCAGACGAGAACGCCCCTCTGGCACCCGCAGCGCTCTGCATCTGTCAGCTAGGATATCTGCTCCTGTGAGTTTCAAATTCCACGCCACCCCGAGCAAAACCCGTGGCTGACTTGAACTTAACCATACAGTCACCTCCAAGATAAACCCCGTCTCCTGTGCGGCAATGATAGAAAGATTTTGCTCGGAGTATGCACGGGGATGCTGTCAGCCTCCGCGGCAGCCTGTATCAGCTCCGTGTCGGAATTGCTGAAGCTCGGTCCAGAGCTCATCCACATTGCCCTACGGCTGGGCATGCGAGTCTCCAGTCGCTCTCAGAATGTAGAGCACACGCCCGGAAGCTGGTCATTGGCGTGCGCTGGCATATCGCTGGATCCCCTACGAGATACCATTGCCCAATTCCACCAAATTCATGTACGTCCCCTCATTCCTCCCCCACTTCTACGGCTACCGGATGACACTAAACATGGGCAACAGTCCATACCCCCAACTAAACGAGTTTACGTCAGTGCCCTTGTGCATCAATCAGCATTCACCGTTAGCGGTCCGCCGAGGATCCTGCAGGAGTTCAGCCGCTTCACTGAAACCCAGCTCCCAGAGGCTCGGAGGACGCGGCTATCAATACATGGCGCCTACCACGCCAGTCATATTCATGGCGCGGATGTCGAGTCGATTCTCGGAGAGTCCCCGATCCTGGACACGGCGGTCGTTTCGAGAAGATCGGTCTTCTCGACCAGCTCGGGTCGTGCTATGGAGGACGTTTCGACTCTTGGGGAATGTCTGCGAAATGCTCTACGAGACATTCTGCGGCAACCCCTGGATTGGAGGGCGACTCTTCAAGGGCTGGTTGATTGCGACCTGGAACACCCGGTTCTAACCACCATTGGACCATCGTACATGGCAAAATCCTTGAAAGAAACCCTGCAATGGGACAAAATCGCGGATGGCAAGGACACTCCCCCAGTTCAGGACGGGAGCATTTCGGGCAGTTTCGCGATTGTGGGAATGTCTGGAAGGTTCCCTGGCAGTGATGATCTGGATTCATTCTGGGGCGTCCTTGAAGATGGACTGGATCTTCATCGAGAGGTACGTTTTGCAGCCTCTCCGCCCATGCATCGCGCCCATAAATACATATCCTGACTGCCCAGATCCCCGCCAATCGTTTTCCCGTTGAGACACACTGCGATCCGACTGGTAAGATTCCGAACACCACCACAACGCCATACGGTTGCTTTTACGACCACCCCGATCTCTTCGACGCTCGGCTCTTCAATATGTCACCGAGAGAAGCCGCCGCAACGGACCCTAACCATCGGCTTCTGCTCCTCACGACCTACGAGGCGCTCCAGATGGCCGGATATTCCCCCGACCGCACTCCGTCGACGCGGCGCCACCGGATCGGCACGTTCGTGGGTCAAACCAGCGATGACTGGCGCGAGGCCAACGCTAGTCAGAAGATCGACGCCTTCTGGACCACTGGCGGCGTGCGTGCCTTTGGTCCCGGCAGGCTGAACTACCACTTTGGCTGGGAAGGGCCAAGCTATAGCATCGATGCCGCCTGCTCGTCCAGTATGGCCGCCATCCAGATCGGGCTAACCGCTTTGCGCAGCCGCGAATGCGATATGGCCGTCGCCGGCGGCGCTAATATGATAAGCTCCTCGGATCCGTTTGCAGGACTGAGCCGGGGGAGCTTTTTGTCCCCCACTGGATCATGCAAGACGTGGGACTCGGAGGCCGATGGATACTGTCGCGGGGAGGGCGTTGGTATGTACACCTTTCCTCACACCGTTGAAACTTGACCACTGACGTCCACGACAGGAATCGTAGTGATCAAGCGCCTGGAGGATGCTATCGCAGACCGAGACCGAATCCAAGCGGTTATCAGGAGTATCTCGACAAACCATTCGGCGGAAGCGATCTCGATCACACATCCGCATGCCGGCACCCAGCAGAGACTATTCAAAACGGTCCTGGATGACGCCGGTGTGCACCCCGACCAGCTCAACTACGTCGAGATGCATGGAACGGGGACCCAGGCGGGTGATGGCATCGAGACCAGTGCGGTCGCCAATTCGCTCGCTTCTCGACGCGCCGATAGCCACCCCTTGTACATCGGGTCCATCAAGCCCAATATCGGCCACGGGGAGGCAGCCTCCGGGATTGCTTCCGTCATCAAATCGGCCTTGATGTTCCAGAAGAATTCGATTCCACCGCATATCGGCATTAAAGGCACGATCAACCCACGCATTCCGCTGAAGGCACTGCACGCATTGAACATTAAGATCCCGATGGAAAGAATGCCATTCACAGCAGACCCGGCCGGTGACGGAAAGCGACGCATTCTGGTTAACAATTTCAACGCAGCAGGGGGCAATACCAGTGTGCTGCTCGAGGAAGGACCCCTCGATCAACTCGTTCGTCATTCCCCAGACCCCCGGGGATGCCACGTCGTCACTGTGTCTGCAAAGACGCTCGACTCGCTCCAAGGAAACACGCAGCGATTGCTCAGTTATCTGCAGGCCCGCCCAGCCACCGATCTTGGAGACCTAGCATACTCCACCACAGCAAGACAAATGCATTGCGGGTATCGGAAGGCTCACGTCGTCGACCACGTCGATCAATTGATTTCTTCTCTTCAGAAAGACGTGGCCACAAAGACCGACCCTTCTCTGATGGCGGCGAACAAATCCCCCGTCGCCGTTTTCCTGTTTCCCGGGCAAGGGTCGCTCTACTCGGGCCTGGCGTACCGGCTCTTCCTAACCTCCCAGGTGTTCGCCCGGAGCATTCGTGAGATTGACGAGATCTGTCAATTGTTGAACCTGCCCTCTGTTCTGGAACCGATCTGTGACCCGGTATTTGATTATACGACCTGCAGTTCGGTTCAGGGACAATTGGTCATTGTGGCTTGCGGCATCGCTCTGGCCTCCCTATGGGCTTCGTGGGGTGTCTCACCACAGCTTGTAACAGGCCACAGTCTAGGAGCATATGCCGCTTGGTATACAGCCGGGGTGCTTAGTCTTCATGATACAATCTATCTCGTGGGACAGCGAGCGCTTCTGATTGAGAAGACATGCCAGCGTGGCAGCCATGCAATGCTCACGACTAGTCTGCCGGCTGCCGCTCTACAACAATATCTCTCTGCTTTCCCATCTTGTGAGATCGCATGCCTCAATGGCCCAAAAACTACCGTCGTCAGCGGGACGGCGGACGACATCACCCGTCTAGGGATTGAACTGAAAGCCAATGGCGTCCAAACTTCGTTGATTGAGGTCCCCTTTGCGTTCCACTCCTCTCAGCTCGACAGCTGCCTGGACGGGCTGCAAACTCTCGGCGACAACGTGGAATTCCATAAGCCCCGAGTCCCGATTCTCTCGACGCTTCTTAGCGACGTGGTCTCCGATGCAGGCATTATCAACGCCGAATACATCACGCGGCAGACTCGACAGCCGGTGGACTTTGTCAGCGCCATTGAGAAGTACGCCGCAACAGCCGGATTTAATGCCCGTTCAACCTTCTGGATTGAGATGGGTGCCCGGCCCTTATGTATCCCGATGGTGAAGACAATCCTGGGCAGCCCCGCGGTGAATTCGCTGCCGTCCATGTCCCCGCGCGAAGCTAATTGGTCCACGCTGAGCACGAGTCTCGCAAAGGCCTATTGCGGCGGTTTCAATATCAACTGGACAGCGATGCATAAGGAATACGAGCACTCGCTGAGACTGCTCCCGCTGCCGAGCTACGCGTTTGACCTGAAGAGCCACTGGCTGCAATACGAAGGAGACTGGTTGATCACGAAATCCACCCAACAGGGACTGGTCAAGCCATCGCCGCACGCGGCGAAGAAGGCGCTCAGCAGCACGCTTCAAAAGGTCGACAGCGAGAATTTCTCGACCAGTGAAGCGACGGTTAGCTTCGTGTCAAATCTGGCAGATCCCGAATTGAACGCGGCGATCTCGGGCCATTTGGTCAATGGACATCGGCTGTGTCCTAGCTCCGTTTATGCCGACATGGCCTTCACGGCGGCGGCGTACATATGGCGCCGGACGTCAACGCTCGAAGCGCCAGCAATGGACGTTTCGAACATGGAGGTCCGCAATCCGCTCTTGTACACTGGCGGCGATGATCACCTAGTCAAAGTCAAGGCTTCCAAAGTATCCGGGGCCTCATTTGTCACGGTCCAAATTAGCTCCGTCCGAGGGAAAGAAGAAGAGGCGGCTCACGCGCATTGCGAGGTCCACTATGGCAACGGAGATGCATGGATGGCGCAGTGGGCAAAGCATCTTTACCTGATTCAAGGGCGCATAGACAGTTTAGAACGGTCCTTGCAGCAGGGGACTATGCGTCAAATCAAGCGCAGCGATGCCTACAAGGCGTTTGCCACGTTTGTGGACTACAGCCCGAAGTTCCAGGGCATGGATGATGTGTTGTTAGATCCCAATTGTTTGGAGGCGTCGGCGGCAGTTCAGTTTCAAACCACCCCCAGTGATGGAACCTTTACCGTCTCTCCGTACTGGATCGACAGTCTGGCACACCTTTCCGGCTTCATTCTCAACACCAGTGAGACCATCCCGGAGGACGTTGTATATATATCGCATGGCTGGGGAAGCATGCGCTTTGCTCGCCCGTTGTCGGAACGCGGCAGCTATCGGACATATGTTCGCATGCAGGAGACGGGTGAGCCGGGAGTCATGGCTGGAGATGTGTACGTGATAGAGCAGCAGAGAATCATTGCGGTCGTCAGCGATGTCAAGTTCCGCTCGATCAAGCAACGGTTCTTGAATGTGCTGCTGCCTTCCACCACCCTCGGAGCTAGTGCACCTCCCACTGCTGCGAAGATCACGAAGAACCGACCACTGGGTACTATTTCAATCCCGACAGCAAAGACGGGCCCATCATTTACCGAAGTCGTTTCTATTATCTCGGAGGAAACTGGCGTGGCCATCGCGGAATTGACGGATCAGACAGATCTCGCGGACATCGGACTAGATTCCTTGATGTCAATCATGATCGTCGATCGACTGCGACAGGAGCTGCAGGTGGAGCTCCCCAGCTCGGCATTCCTATGTCCGCAACTAGGCGATCTGCGCCAGGTCTTCGACGAGCGCTACCAAATGCCCGCAGGAGCATATTTCACACCCCCATCCAGTGTCGAAACCTCCACGCCAGCAGTCAGCACTCCTTCCAGCGAAGACGGGGGTAGTTTCGCAGAGATATTACGCAACATCATTGCAAGCGAATTGGGCCTCGCTGTCTACGAGGTCCAGCCCGACATTGTCTTCTCTGAGCTGGGCATCGACTCCCTGCTTTCACTGACAATTATCAACGCGGTCTATGAGCAAACCGGTCGAAGACTGCCCTCTTCGTTCTTTTTCGGTGATTATTCAAACTACGCAGAAGTCCAACGGGCTTTTGGGGGTCTATGCCCCAGCGAGCCACCAACCGTAGCTGTCACGCCTGTCACGCCATCGCCTCGGTGTCAGTCCACTCTTCTCCAAGGCTCGATCACCTCGCGCTCACCGGCCTTATTCCTGCTCCCTGATGGCTCCGGAAGCGCGGGCTCGTATGCCGGCTTACCCGTGCTCGGAGACTCCGATCGACCGGTCTGGGGTATCCACAGTCCATTCCTCCGATGCCCGGAGCAGTTCCAGCATTCTCTAGAAGAAGTGGCGAAGATGTACGTAGACGAGATTCTGCGGTTGGATCCCAATGGGCCGTACATACTGGGTGGATGGTAAGTTTGTTTTCCTCTACTTGTTAATACCTTTTTCTTTATTTTTCTTTTTCGCAGGCCTATCTAACAAACACCAACAGGAGCATTGGCGGCGTCTACGCCTTCGAAGCCACCCGTCTCCTCCGCCAACTTGGCAAGACCATGGATGGCCTCCTGCTCATTGATGCCCCATGCCCTGGGACCATTCCCCCATTGCCTACCGAGACTGTCGACTTGCTCGACCGTCTTGGCATCACGACTAGTAGCAAATCGCAGAAAGATCGCAGCGCCACGCGAGAGCACTTCCTGGCCAGCATCGAGGCACTGAAGACGTATATACCACAGCCAATGATAGACGAGAACGCGCCACGGTGCCTCGCGCTCTGGGCAGGCAGCGGGGTATGGGAGTCCGTTAGCGAGGAGGAGCGAGTGGCGATGAAGGCCCGGTGGGGGAACGACGAGAGTGACGCCCAGCGATGGATCATGGAGGCGAGAACATGGCGCGGCGCCAACGGATGGGATCAGCTGATGCGATATGTGCGAGTGGAAACAGTGGGTGGAAACCACTTCAGCATTATGAGGAGACCTCAGGTATGGCCCTACATTGCTACGGTCGATTTGGATGGTTCCAGATGCATTGCTAACGAACATGCTAGATTCTTGAAGTGGGTCGCGTTCTTGCGACGTACATAGATGAAAATTAGACCCGGGGGAAATAGTGCCATAGTCCTTCAGAAGCGAGTTTATCTCTGCACAGTAATACGAGGTAGTATGACCTGACACCTTTGGGGGCCAAATCAGGATCGTTTTGCACTAGACGACGCCGTAAGCACCTGGAATGGTCCAAGCAGCTAGCGCAATTCTCGCATCCTACGCTAGCCCCTTAAGTTAATCTTACTGCAGAAATGGTCTTGATGCTAATCTAGTGCTCGACAACGTTACATTTCTTCAGTACTAAAATCTCTCGAAAATCCTCTGCAGAGACTAAACAGGGGCCTAACGTGGCGACCAAGACTACGGAGTAAGCCGAGCAATCTATTTACTTTCCCTTCATTTGCACTTGTCACTTTTGACTCTAGTCGGACCACGCGCTCGAGGGCTCAAAATGCGCTGCCCCTGCCGATCTCTCCGTCAGCTCAGCTGAATCCCAAACTCAAGCAAATCGCGATCATGGCTCTTCTCCGAGCGTTTTCTTTCCTCTCCCTCTTGGCTGCGTCGACCGCCACCGGTCCCTTCGAAGCTCCAGCCACGTCTTTGGGGACCCCCGGTAAGGATGCCAGCTATGACTACGTCGTTGTTGGTGGCGGCACGGCTGGGTTGACCATCGCCGGGCGCCTGGCGCAGGAAGGAGGCTTCACGGTGGCTGTCGTTGAGGCCGGAGGCTTCTACCAACTCAATGGCAATCTCAGCGTCATCCCGGCCTTTGATATCTGGTACGCGGGTGCTAGCCCGGACGATACCAACCCCAACATCGACTGGGGATTTGTGACGTCTCCTCAAGCGGTGCGTTGGGCTTGCAAGACAAGCATGTATCGAAAGAGTGTCCCGTGCTGACTTGTTTGCGCCAAATAGGGTATGAATAACCGCGAAATCCACTATGCGCGAGGAAAGTGTCTGAGTGGAAGGTGAGAATCCCCCAAGATCTGTCTGCACAGAATGATTATGCGGTGAGTTGCGGCTGACGCGCCAGGAAAGCTCTGCTCGGAACTACATGACCTACCATTGCGGTACCACCGACTCCTACTCCAAGTGGGCAACCGAGGTGGACGACTCGTCCTACGAGCTGAGCAACTTCTGGCCGTATTTCCAGAAGACGGTGAACTTCACTCAGCCAGACAATGAGCGACGGGCGGCCAATGCCTCGATTCCCGAGACAGACCGCTTCGCCAGCGGCTCCCCCCTACAGGTTTCGCACCCCGTCTACGCGAACCCCTTCTCTTCCTGGGTAAAGAAAGCTCTGCAGTATATGGGCTTCAAGGAGGCGAAGGACTTTGTCAGTGGCGAGCTTTCCGGGGTCCAATACAACATGGTCACTGTCGACCCGAGGTGGTCGACGCGTAGTTCGGCTGAGGAGTTTGTTCGCAGCATCGGTGTCGCGGATAACTTCAAGATTTACAACGGCACTCTGGCGCAGAAGTTGGTGTTCAAGGGCACCACGGCAACCGGCGTCAAGGTTACCACATCCGGAAAAGACTATACCCTCTCGGCCAAGAAGGAGGTCATCGTCTCTGCTGGCGCGGTACGTCCTTGTTGACTTCGTTCTCAATGTTGTGGCTTCAAGTTTGCTAACAGTAGTGCCGGGTTCCAGTTCCAATCGCCGCAGCTCCTGATGGTCTCCGGTGTTGGGCCGGCTGACATCCTGGAAGAGTTTGACATCCCTGTCATCTCCGAGCTCGCTGGTGTCGGTCAAAACATGTGGGATCATCTTCTCTTCGGTCTCTCCTACCAGGTCACGACTCCCTCGCATTCCGCCGTCGGAAACGCTGAGTACCTGGCCCAGGCCACTGAGGAATACCTCGCCGATGGCAGCGGCATGCTAGGAAACCCCGGCGGTGATATCGTCGCTTGGGAAAAATTGGCCGGGAAGCAGCTGAAGCGGCTGAGCGCGGACACGCAATGCCGGCTGGGCGACTCATTCCCCTCGGACTGGCCCGAGGTGGAATACATCACTCTGGATGCCTATATGGGAAACAACCAGAACTACATCACTGGAGCTCCCCAGACTCCCTACATGTATGTCAGCCCGGCGGCCTCGCTTGTCTCGCCCTTCAGCCGCGGCAACTTGACCATCGCCTCCGCCAGCATGGAGGATGACCCGATCATCAACCCCAACTGGCTCACCGACACAGCCGATCAGGAGCTGGCCATTCTAGCCGTCAAGCGTATCCGCGAGATGGTCGACACTGACATCATGAAGAACGTCATTGTTGGCACCGAGGTCTATCCCGGCCGCGACAAGGTGTCAACGGACGCCGAAATCCTGAACTTCGTGCGTGACAACGGAATCCAGATCTTCCACGCTGCCGCTACTTGTACGTTATTTCTCTCCTCTCTCACTCGCTTCCCCTGTCAATATAGCCTCGTCTAACTTGCAGCAGGCAAAATGGGTACCTCCAAAGATCCCCTCGCAGTTGTTGACTCGCAGGGTCGTGTCTTCGGCACCTCGCAACTTCGCGTCGTCGACGCTTCGGCCTTCCCCTTCCTTCCCCCTGGACATCCTCAGGCCACTGTCTGTAAGTACTCCATAACCCATGAAACCAAAGTCGCTCCCCATAGCCTCCAATCTAAGCTAACTAATTTATCTCTACAGACGCTCTCGCCGAGAAGATTGCGGCTGACATTATCGGAAAATAAGAGTCGACGTTAACAAGATTCACGTGTACACTCTTTTGTGACGTATTAGGAGCAATGGGTAGATAATTTCCAAAGTTCCAGGAGCTGGGAACTCGAATAATGATTGAGTCTGGACTTTCATAATAGAAGTTTATGTTGTAACTAGAGGAATATCCAAGCTATCGGTGATGTAAAGTTCCATTCAAAGGCCGCCTTTCATTAGCTTTGGCATTTGTTCTGCTTAATGATGTGTCCATACTTGTGAACCAAGTGACAATGTTCCTATCCAGGTACCTCAGTACCTCCCTCAGAAGCAGAGTAAGAATTGATCTATATTTTGTTTGAAGGACAGTGTAAGTGTCACGGTGCCAGGTTGCATCGTGACAGGTTTTCTACAGCGTTGCTTGATCTATATTAAGCTTTGGAGGTTCTTGAGTGGTGTCAAACCTGTTACTACCCACCGTAGTTCTGCTGGGATGGTTGAGGAGATAAAATGACGTTGAATACAGCAAAGTATGGTACCGCCTGACTAAACATCGCCGATCAGCATTACCTAGGTACCCTGACCCAGTCACGTATTACAGTATTTTGACGCCCGCATGCTGAATACCTGATTGGCCCCCCATCCTAGCGCATGCATACGAGCACCGCCTGGCTGAGCTGGCGCCCAGGATGCCTTCCACTTCTCCCCTTTCTCTCTCCTAATCTGCTTTCCCTTCTATTAGTCCTCGGTGCAAATTCCATGATGTCCGACCCCTTATCAGTCGCCGGTAGCGCCGTTGGGATCATTTCTCTTGGTCTGCAGGTTTGTGGCAAGATCATCAAGTATTCTCAGGACTTGCGTGGCCAAGACGATGATCTCGATCGTCTTGTGACCAAGGCAGAGCATCTTCGTGCGCCGCTGAAGGAATTACAAGACTTGATCGAAGATACGAGAAATGAGTCATCAAAGACAGCGGATGATCTTGAATCGAAGGCACTTGGTCTTCAAGTCTATGTTGAAAGGTTGAAGAGGAAAATTGAGCAATACCAACCTGTCTCAACTGGAGGCGCGCATGGAAATGGAAAAGCTCGATCGACATTTAAAAGGGCGGTTTACCCTTTCAAGAAAGAGTCTCTTGGGGAAATCGCGTACTGTCTGGATAGTATGCAAATGACCTTACAGACCACATTAGCCATGTAAGTGGAAGTCTCACCATTGTATTGGTTATCATAAGTGTAAAATATGTGACTGGTTGTAGCTCGACGGCGCGGAAACTTTCCACATTCGAGTCGAAGCAAGATGCCTTTGATGCTAAACAAGATCGTATTCTCGTATTGGCAGAGGAAATGGTAGGAATGGAAACTCACATCCATATCTGTCACAGCCGCTGAACCTACTTCTAGAAAACACTACAGCTTGCCATACAAAGCTCGTCACCACAAAGGATTCGCCAACTACCACCATCTCAAATAAGATCATGGTGTGATCATCTCAACAACTCAAAGTCACTAGGCTTACTTCCCCGTGCGCAGAAGAACTCTCGAGCCAAACAATTCAGAAAGAGTTACAGCTTTTGTAGCAGGTGGCTTGGTTTCTACCTCACGGGGACATTTTATCTTTCAACCGGGTCTGGTGGACTTTCAATTGCACCATCATTAAAATTATGTGCTCTTGTAGGGCCTGGAAGCTACGCAGAGCAGGTCTTCGAAGTACTGAGTGGCTTAAACCCCGTTGAACTCATGGAAGAACCGTCCAATAGAATCGATGAGTTTATTCAATACTCGCAGATTCAATTTTCGGACGGAAGGGCGGCACCAACTGATAGATTACAGAGAGGCCCTGAAACCGTTTCCATGATAAATGTGAGCTTTTTGACCCCTTATGAAATAATCCAAGCTAGTGTTTAACAGCCCCCAGATCCCATTCTATTACTTCTTCCAGTGTTCGTTCCTTGAACGTGAACAATTTCCAAGTCTTTGCAGATTAACCCAATATATGTTACGCTGCGGTGCCACTCTTGACCATCAGGATAATCTGCAGTCATGTCTTCCCGCCTTGTGCTGCTCGTATCTTTGGACGGAAGAGGAATACACCTTTGTCTCTCCTTTAATAGAGAGATATGGGTCAATAAACTGGGCTCCGCGAAATTGGGTCGAAAAGGCAAATATGCAAACCATTTTAGAGAGATATGACGATTGTATGAGCACCACTTATTGTCATATCATTGTAAACAGACTGCTTACCTATATTATAGGGATTGAATTGCCGGCTGCATATATCGCCGTTCTTCGGGAATCAGAAGAAGACTTGAAAGAGATCCTCACATCGGCGGCCCCACACCTCGACACTAAAATCAATGATATAACCTTGCTTCAGTTGGCAATGGGCTGGCCAACGGGTGTGAGCCTGCTGCTCGAAGCAGAATCAAGTGCACCCTTACCGACCAGATATCATAGGAAAGCTCGTAGGAACATCACCGATGATGATACAAAAATTGGCAAATACATTGAATCCTGCAAGGTCTTGTTCGAGGCTGGATACACAGTTATGCCATCGCAAATCTTTGACGCCTCAACAATCAAATTGCAATGTGTCTTGTTACAGGAGCTAGCTAATCGGCGACGAAAATTGTTGGATATCGCAGAAGCCCATATTGATCCCACCGAACTTTCAAAGCTCAGACAAGGAGAAACTGGGCTTCCTGATGCGCATAGCTTTTGTCACTACGCTACATTGGTCGCCAAGGGGGTCAATGTTAACCCTTCTTTGGACCCTGGACGAACGCAATCTGGTTTGTCGATATACCATCACACCGTCTCATCTTCACTCAAAGTTCTGGCTTCACTCGAGCTCCTGAAGAAGATATATAAAGTCGGTTTCAGAGATCTAGATCAAACCGGACCTGATGGTTTTACACCGCTGATGGATCGGTGTATAGACCCGTCATCCGAATCTGACCTTGAATCAATTGTCTGGATGGCTTTAAACGGGGCGAACCTTTTCCGGCAGATCCCAGGGTCAAATGCGACAGCCTTCCATCTCCTGAATGCGAAGTTGGCTGCAAAAGTCTTTACGGGATATTACACGGCCAAGATTGGCCATATATCCTCCTATTTAAGGGACAAGACTTGTTGCATTTGGCAGCTTGACGAGAATATGCTATCGGTATCAATCAAGGACTTTTGCTCCTGTTCGTGCTCTGTTGGAGGATGCACTGCAGTATCAGTGGCTGTTCGTCATGTGGTTTACAATTTCTTTAAATCAAGAGACGGAATACACAAGCTCTCAGCAGCGTTCCTTCAATTCCTCCAATACATTGTTGATTTTAATCAATCTGATTCCGAAGTTTGCCATGCAATCATCAGGAGTCTCACTTTCGATGGCCTCAGTTTGAGGCACACATGTTGCACTGAGCTCCATCGCTGGCCCATTACTGAGCACATCAGAGATGAAAGTGAGCTCCGTGAGATCATAGAAGAGCAGAAGGGTCTACTTGAATATCTTGAGGAGCTTGTGGCTGAATTCTATGCTCGGTTTGACGCTCTAAATGTGCCGTTAATCGACTTTCTCAAGCATGTTTGGTATGGGCGCATGGTCAAGTTCCATTCTCACCGCGACCATTTTGACGAGAATCATCATCGCGAAGTGAGAAATCTCGGGATCTCATTGGAGTTTGATGAAGTTGAAATACCTCTTGTTATTCAACTCATTTGTGATCAGGAGAGGATACTTGAGATTGAAGAGGATGACGGCAGTGGTTCATAACACCGTTCAGGTACATTTGCTTAGGCTGGAGGACTCTAGAATGAATTATTCTATTCAATATGCCCGGGGAAATTGAGGCTCGGTTTCTGTAGAGTAGAGCCTAGCAGCTAATTAAAAAGTAAGATTCTCACCTAAATTCAACTTAGTTCTATGATTTTTAACAGCTTAGTTTTTAGTTATAAAGTTTATATTTTTTATAGAATACTTATTTAAATTATATCTTTTTTGAGCATAATAGCTATTTTTTCTATCTAATATGCCCGGGGGAATTAAGGCTTAATTTAAAATTAGGTATTCATATATAAAAGTGAAATAAATTGAATAAATTGAATAAATTGAATAAATTGAATAAATTGAATAAATTGAATAAATTGAATAAATTGAATAAATTGAATAAATTAAAATTATATAATTAAAATTTTTATTTAATAAAAATAATTATTATTAAAAAATAATGTATTATTACATATTTCCAGAAAGATTTAAAAAGATTTTAAATAAATAAATTATTTTTTTTTTTAATATTATATATAATAAGTTAGATATTAGAACTTTTATAAATTTTTATATTTATTTTTTAATTATATAAAAAATATTAAATATCTTTATATCTTTTATACAAAATAATAAAGAATTTAAATAAATTAATAAATTAAATATAAACCTAGATTAGAGCTATTATAATATGTAATAATTTATAAATACTATATTATATTATATATATATATATATATTAATTTATATTAAAGATCAAAAACTAATTATATAATAAAATTTAACCTATAAATATATCTTATAATTATAAAAAATAATATGTAATAAAATAAGGCTTATAAATTTATTTAATATATTAAAAATATTTACTATTTGTCACGGTGCAGACCTGAGGGCACTGCCAAGCCAGAAGAACCTATCCCTAATCCTGATCCCCTGACTGCTTAAAAGCCTAAATATTAGAAATCCTGTTATAGCTCTCTGAGCTATATCTTGTTTATTATTTTATATATAGTCTAATAGTAGTAATAATTAAAGACCTTATAAACCTAGCCTGCCTAACCTAGCTAAACTATCTGCTTTGCTTGCCCTTACTATACTAACTTTACTAACTTGCCAGCCTGTATTTTAATATTATATAACTCTTATTTATAAAGTTAGTATTTATTTAATATATCTAAAATTCTAAAGCCCCTGTCTCTCCTTAAGGACCCTAAATTATTTACTTAGTATATTATTAAATATATTAAAGAATAGTATATTTATTATAACCAGATTTATATATTTATAGTAAATATTAATATTAATTAAGAATATTTTTATTAGGAAGTCTCCCGCCTCTAATAAAATATAAATATTATTATATAAATTATTATCCTCTAAGCAGATTATAAAAAAAATTTAAATTTTAAACTTATTTAGGCTCTAGCTGATAAGAGTATAATAATCTAAGAATAAAATTATATAATTTAGGTTATTATGTTTGTAATTAGTACCCTGGACTAGATCCCTAAATTTATTACTAAAGGACCCCCAGCTACTTTAATAAAAATACTTATATTAATTAATCTTAGATCTTCTGTTTTTACTTATTTTTCTAAATAATTATCTGATTTTAATAAGTTTAAAAATATTAAATTAGATTTCTGCTATTTTATCTCCTAGATTAAAAAAAAATAATTATAAATTATAATTATTTCCTAATCTCTCAGACCTATATAGCCTATATTTTTAATTATTTAAAAAGACTTTTTTATATTTAAGTCCTTCTATATATTAAAAATAAAGTTTATTAGCTGAAAGATTATACTAAAATCCTAGAAATATTTAATTATATTTATAAAAACTTAAATTATATTTGTAATGCCCGGAATGCCCTATATAATCTAAGATAAAAAAACTAAAAATTTTTTATTTTTTTATTAAATTTTAATAATTAGTTATAGAGAGAGAAATAGCTAAAAATAGTTTTTTTATTTTTCTCGAGAAAGTTATTAATTAGGAAATAAAGACTATATTAATATACTAAAACCTGCCTACTAGGAATTATATTAACTTTATTATTTTTTTATAAAAATTAAAAAACTATTATACTTAATACTCTTATAGCTAATCTTAAAAGCCTATTTTAATTTTAACCAGAATTAATATTTACCTGTGGATTTTAATTAAGAATACCCGAAACTATTATTTTTAAAATCTAGTTAATAAACCTCCCCGGCCTGCTGTTATTGCTCTAAATCTTAATATTATAAATTTTTTTTTAATTTACTGTTTGTCTTCCTGCCTTAAAAGTAATATTTATAAAGATTATAATAAATATTTTTGCTATAGATTAAGTTAATATATAATTAGAGACTATTCTGAACCAGATAGTTATTTATACTAGATTAATTATATTATATATTTTATCTTTTTTTTAAAATCTTATTTATTTTCTTAAAAATAATTTTTTTTTATATTTTAGTCTTATTTTATTTTGTAAGGCCTACCTGTATTATTATTATTTTAAGTTTCTTAGTCTTAAATAATTTTTTAGATAAAATACCTGTATTTCTTAAATCTAAATAAGTAATTAAAAAAGGTTAGCCTGGCCTAAACTATAACTAGATAATTTTTTTATATAAATTTATTAAATCTCTGAAGCTGTTATTAGAGGATTTTTTATTAAAAAAAATTTTTAAAAAACTAACTTATTAATTATTTTTATTATACTAAACCCCGGTAAAAATAAGATTATTATTTATATTATATTCAATAATAGCTACTTTATATTTTATATTATAAATAAGAATTAAGCTAAAGTCTAAAATCTGACCTTATATTTTCTGAAAAAATCTAAATTAATTATAAAATTTAATAACCACAAGAACAAGATTAATACTATTACTTATTATATCTGTATAATCCTGAAAATCTATAATTATATTAAAAAAGATATTTTATTTTTAATTATTTAGCTTATATATTTTTCTGTTATAATTAGATTTTTCTAGTTTAAAACCTATAATCCTAAAATAAATTTTATTAAGTATATTCTCTAGTTTAATAGTTAATATTATTAAAAATATTATACTGCTCTATCCCCAGAAAATCCGGGTTTTATATAATATCCCTGCCTAAGCCTACTTAATTAACTTAAAGGTACTAAAGGCCTTCTAAACCCGTGATATTTATATAGTATTTATAAAAGCTTACGCTATATATATAAGATAGGGAAAAAAATCTTTATTATTATTATAAAATAAATTAACTAAATAATCTATAAAAGATCCCCTAAGAAACCTCTGATATAAGAGATATTTAACTTTAATTAAAACTTTAATATCCTTATAGAATTCTGGGATTTTAATAATGTATTTTTACTAAAAAAAGTAAATAAGTTCTTCCTATATAAAGATTATAATTATATAATTATTCTGGAATCTGGTAAGAGATTATTATTTAGTTTTTTATATAATATATTTTAGGAAGAGCTAAAGGCCCTCTGGAAATAGTTACTTAAGAATTTATAAAAAAGTTTTATTTATTTAAATTTATTTTTTATAATATCCTTTATTCTGTTTATTAATAAGCCTAATAAAAACTTATATTTTTATGTTAATTACTAAGCCCTGAATATAATTATAGTTAAAGATTATTATTTATTATTTTTAGTAAAAAAGACCCTGAATAATTTAAAGGGAATATATTATTTTACAAAGATTAATATTATAAATATTTTTAATAATTTATATATTTAGAAAAATTAAAAGTAGATAATTATATTTAATATCTGTTTAGGCCTATTTAAATCTTTAGTAATACTATTTAGTTTGACTGGAGCCCTTAGGATATTCTAGTATTATATTAATAATATTTTATATAATTATTTAGATATTTTTTATACTATTTACCTAGATAATATTCTAATTTATAATTAAATTTATCCTAAATATATCTGTTATATTTATTAGGTCCTATAAAAGCTGCGAGAAGCCTGCTTATTTATAAAACTTTTAAAATATAAGTTTATTATTCCTAAAACTAAATTCTTAAGTCTGATTATTAGTTATAAAAGGATCTAAATAAATTTTTCTAAAATTAAAATAGTTATTAACTGGCCTGTTCTAACTTATATTATAGATATTTAAGTGTTTTTAGGATTTAGTAATTTTTACTATTATTTTATTTAAGATTTTTCGAAGTTAATTATTCTGTTTATTAGTCTAATTTATAAAGGAATACCCTGGAAGTAGATCTTATTTTATTAAAAAATTTTTAATTATTTTAAAAAAGCTTTTATTAATACTCTGGTCTTATAGCCTTTTAATTAAATATATATTATAATTTTAGAAATTAATATTTTTAATTATATTTTTATTAGAATCTTATTTTAATATAATAATAATAAAATTTTATACCCTATTATTTTTTTTTTAAAAAAGTATTTACCCGCGGAGTATAATTATAAGATTTATAATAAAGAATTAGTTATTATTATCTAATATTTTAAAAAATAATATCCTGAATTTAAAAAAGCCTTATCTCTAATATAAGTTATTTTTAATTATTATAATCTAGAGTATTTGATATTAACTAAGTTTTTAAACTAATAATAAGCTTATTAATCTAAATTTTTATCCTAATTTAAGTTTAAAATTATATACTACCCCAGAAAGTATAAAACTAAACTAGATAGCTTAACTAGGAGATCAGAGGATTTTTTTAAAAAGAGGAATAAATATTTATAATATTAAAGTTAAGTAGTACTAAAATACAAAAATCTTAATATTAGTAAACTTAAATCTAATCTAATAAAAATCTTTAAATTTTTGACCCTACTTATCCCTATAATCTAAATTTATTAAAATATTATTTTTAAGAATAAATAAGACTTATAACTATTATTTAAAATCTGGATAAATCTAAGAAAAATATATAAGAAAAATAATCTAATCTATAAAATCTAGAAGATCTTTATTATAAAAAAAAATTATTATTTAAAAATTACTTTAGCCGCCTATAAAAAATAAGATAGCCTTTTATTTTATAAAA